CAGGGCCTGGGGCCAGCCCTGACTAAGTGCTCTTGGCGGTGGCCTGTCCCCTCCTGTCGTCTCCTGGCCTTTGCTGCCTCCTCTAGACCCTCCCTGCCCTGGTAGACCCTGGGGGCTGGTGGCCCTGCCCAGCTTCCAGCTCCGTGCCAAAGCATGTGCCGAGAGCCGGCTCCCGTGGGTCAGCTGCACAGCCCCGCGTGAGGAAAGAAGCTTGGCCACGGCTGGCCCAGCCAAGGGCCAGGGCTGGGGGCTCCTCCCCGGGCTGGGGGCTCCTCCCGGGCTGGGGGCTCCTCCCAGGGTCACCCTGCAGCGCCTCCCCCGGCTCTGTGCACTGGATCTGGGGCGAGAGAGGGGACCCTGGCGGGGCTGGGAGCCGGGCGCACCTAGCACTTTGTGCGGGGGGCCCCTGGGGTGGGCAGGACACCACCCCCAGCCCTTGTCTGCATCTGCTGTCGCCAGAGTCTCGGGCCCTCTTTCCTTGTCTTTGGCTTGTTTGCGTTGAAGGGAGAGCGAAAGAAACCCACCACGGTTTGCGACGTTCCTCTGAGCGCCCGTGCGTGTCTGTGCGGACAAGGCAGAGATTTTCTACTACCGAGAAGATGATGTATGTTTTAGTTGCCCGTGAAACTGGCCGTCAGGATCACGAAAGACACTGAGGACAAAGCTCCGAGAGCCTGCTGCTGGTTGCGTTTGTGGTGACGCGTGCGTCAGTGTGGACTTGTGTCCGGCTCGGTTTTGCACTGTGCTGGCGGGCTGGGGCAGCGGGGGACTGGGTGCCCTCCTGGGGTGGGGGGTGCCCCCGTCAGCTGTGAAGCACTCTTGAGAGCCAGGCTTCGGGGGGCCCCACGGCCGGCGGCACCCCCAAGGGGAACTCAGAACTGTACATTCGCCGAGGGTTTTTTCCAGACCACGGTTTTCAATGTCAATAAACCTGAGATGTTTCCTGCAGGAGTGATTGGTTTCCCGTGACATGGGGAAGGGGCCGGGCCTCACTTGGGGTGAGGGTGGGCACGTGGGCACAGCCGGGGCAGGGCCTAGAGAGCACCCCGTGATCCTGGGCAGATAGACCCCAGTGTCCGGGCGAGTGGGACCCTCTGCCCAGGTGGGCTCTCCTGTGTGTGGCAGAGATGACCCAGGCGGCGGGCTGAGCTGCAGGCTGGGGCCTGGGATGCCCGGTGTACCCCCAGCGGGGCAGCAAGGTGTGGTCAGCCTTGCCCGCTTCGACCCCAGCCCCTGCTGCCGGGAGCCCCATCTTCCCACTCCTCAGCGTGGCCCGGAGTGGCTGTGGTGACTCCTGGCAGCGAGAGAAGGCCGTGTGAGAATCGGTCCCCCTCGCAGCCCTGAACCTAGTGCCTTGTTATACGTCTTGCTGCCACCTCGACCCTGGCAACCTCAGCTCCTGTCCCTGAGGACGGTCAGGCCACTGCCTGTCTGCTCGCTCCCTGGACAAAGGCTCCTGTTTCCACGCAGTGTTTCGGGTGATCCCTGTAGGACACCATTTCTGGGGCAGCAGCCTAGAAGCCTCGTCCACCTCTGGCTCCAGCATTCCGTAAAGGTGCTGGTTCAAGTCCCAGCTGCTCCGCTTCCCACCCCGCTCCTGCTCACGGCCTGAGAAAAGCAGCAGAGGACGGCCCAAGTGCTTGAGTCCCTCAGCCGCGTGTAGATGCGGAAGCAGCCCCGGCTGGCAGCCGTGGACTGACCCAGCTCCGGCTGGCAGCCGTGGACTGACCCAGCTCAGGCTGGCAGCCGTGGACTGACCCAGCTCCGGCTGCCAGCCGTGGACTGACCCAGCTCCGGCTGCCAGCGGTGGACTGACCCAGCTCTGGCTGTCACAGCCATCTGGGGAGTGAACCAGTGGATGGAAGATCTCTCTATCCCCTCTCCATGAGCACCGCGTGTTCGCAGCTCTCCGTTCTAGCCAGCTCCTCACCCACACTCACCCTGGGAGACAGGAGGTGCTGGCTCCAGTGTGCAGGTCCCTGCTGCCCACGTGGGGGACGGGGTGGCGGTCCAGGCTCCCAGCTCTGGCCGCCCCGAGCCCTGGCTCCTGGGAACATTCGGGCAGCGGATCAGCGCGTGGAAGATCTCTCCCTACTTTTCAATGAAATGGAGGCAAACCGTTTTTAAAAGACTTATTTGAGTCTTCTGTCCACTGTCTCACTCCCGCGCAGGTGGCTGTGGTGGTCAGGCTGGGGCTGAAAGCCAGGAGCCAGGAGCTGCCTCGGGCTCTCCCACATGTGGGCGGAGCGGCTTCCTGGCCTCAGCTCCATACCTGCTCAGGTGCACATGTGTGTCCTCGGCGTCCACAGAGAAGCTGCAAGTCAGGGCTGGGGTCCAAGGCTGCCGCCCGTGGCCAAGGCTGTACATGCTGACTGCCACCCTGCTGGCCACCAGGGACACTCATACCCCCGTGTCGTGGACGCCCACAGCTTCACAGCACGGAAGACCCACGCTGAAGGACACGCTGAGAGCCTGAGGAGGAAGCAGGGCACGCAGGGGCTGGGCAGGCTCGGCAAGCAGGGGCCACTGGGACGTCCGAGGGCATCCTTGGCCAGACCTGGAGAGACCCCTTTCCCCATACTGCTTCCAGACTTGAGCAGGTGAACCCTGGCATGCTGAGCTGCTGCCAGCCCTGGTCCAGTCTGGACGCCTGAACTCAGGACTGGGCATCCCAGACACTGCCCAGGGCATGCGTAGCCCCGGTGGCCAGTCATGGCTGGGCCACTTCCCTTTGGGACGTCCTCTTGGCTCTCCAAAGGAGGACAGCTTGCTCTGAGTGACCCCAACACGACCAGCCTGGGGCGGCCGTGGCCCCTCGCCCAGCATTCTCTTTCTGGGGTCTTAATGTCGCCTGTGGGTGCGTTGTGTACAACAGGTGCTCAACAAAAGCACCAAGAGCGGGCTGTGCATGGGGTCTGGGCTTTTGTCAGCCTCTGTCCCTGGCCACACACACCCGATTTCCTCTAGGCTGGGCCGCGTGTCGGCCAGTGAGGCCGACTGCCGGCCGCTGGCTGACTGCCTGGCTCTCCACGTGGCCCTCTGTAAGCTGGTTCCCTCTCTGGGCCTTGGTATCCCCACAGTCTCAGAAAAGCTGGCCCAGGAAGGCAGGGAGGACCCTGGGCACCCCAGAAGGCAGGTCTCGGGGGATTCCCCAGGCCCTGACAGCATGTGGCACCTGCAGGGCCAGCCTCCCTCGACCCAAGGCCACTGCCTAGCCAGCAGTCCCTGCCTCCGCCCCTTCTTCCTGGCAGGTGTGGGCCTGTGGGGGTGTATGCCCCCCTCCCGCCGCTCCGACATGGTGACCCCTGTTTCAGGGACAAAGATGCAGAACTCAGGCCGCACAGGGTGAATGGAGCTGGTGCGGGGAGCTGCCCACTTGGCTGCTGGCCAGCTGGCTCCAAGCCTGGGGTGGTGGGCGGTGCCTTCCCTCTGGGCGGGGAAGGGTGCTGGGGAGGGGGCGGGGCGGGGGCGGCTGGTTCTGGCCCAGCGGCCACTGGAGAAGAGCGGAGGGGTGACTGCCCCGTCCTGCACCTGGAGGTACGCCCCTGCCCTGGCCTCGCCTGGCTCTGCTCGTGGCTGCAGCGGCCATCTGCTTGGAGGACCTGACCGAGGCCGACCCTCTCCTGCCCTCCGCAGGGCGAAGGCCGTGCAGGCACCGTCTGCAGCGCCGGAAGGGGGGACCCGCACCCCCCGCTCCTACAGGAGGTGGGCTTTGGTCCTTGACCGAGCCCCGGCCTGTCCGTGCGACTCCACCCCTGGGCCTCCGACTCCCGGCAGGCCAGCGGCAACCGTGGAAGCAGCTGCTCCCGGGAGGCGGCCCTGGGCCGGGCAGCCCCGCTGCGGGTGGGCCGAGGCCGTGGCAGCCAGCCGCAGGAGGCCCAGCGGGCATGGTGTGCCTGGCAGGCCTCGCAGTGGGAACATTTTGTGGAGGCGTCACCCATTCTTCTCCTAGGACTGTTCTCCGCGGCTTCTGCTGGGTTGAGGCCCTCGTGTCCCGGAGGTATGTGGCGTGGGGTGTGCCCGGAAGTGACAGCAGCGGGGGGCTCCTCAGTGCCCCCACCAGCCTCTCCCTGACCCGGGTTCTGCCTCCTCCCCTCCCTCCAGGAGCAGGGGCACCACCCTGGCCCCTGCACTGGACGTTGGTCTGCTCCTGGCAAGGGCTATGCTGGGGTCACGGGTGCAGGCGGGCTCCAGACCCCATGGCTCCCCCAAGCCTTGGCTGGGGCAGCGACCTCCCCTGTGAACCGGAGCCGATGGCCATGTCCGTGCCAGCACCATGCACCATGCAGCTGGCAGAGCCCCCACAGCCCCCACTGCCTCTCTGTGATCCCAGAGCGCGACGCCCTTCCTTCCTCCACACCTCCCCACCCCCAGGGGAGCAGGAAGAAGGTGGGCTCTGGCTGGGGAGATCTGGGAGGACTGCCTGGAAGGGGTGTCTAGGCTGAGCCTCGCCGCCCCCTGGGTGGACGCTGAGCAAAGCAGCAGGTCAGGGAGCCCCAACTCTCTGGGACCACCTGGTCACCACTGGCCCCTTGGCTCCCCAGGGACGATCCTTGGGTGGCGGACAGCCAGGCTAGGCTGGAGGGAGTGCCCAGTCCCAATGTCCCTTGTCCTTGCCAGTGTCCTCCAAGGCCCCCCACTCCGTGTGTGGATGGCTCCACGTGGGTCACAGTGTCTGTGGACCTCCTGAGCTGCAACCCCTGGGCCAGGTTTCTTGAACCCTGCAGAGGCCCCTCTGCTCACCCCCGCCCAGGAAGCAGCCTGGACTCTGACCAGCACGCAAGGCTCCCCACCCCCACCCGGCCTTCCCCTCCCCACCAAAGCAGCTGCTGCTGTGTGTCCTTGGGGACCCCCAGGGATCCTCCTTGCTGTCCCTGTCACCGGCTCTCCACCCGCCCTCGGGGCCAGCCTGCCGCATGCCAGTGTGCATGGGCAGTGCCTGCGGGTGGCGCAAGGCCCCAGCACCCGCCCCAGCCCTGCTCTCTCCCCAGCTGCCCATGGTGCTGAAGCACGGTGTGGCCATGGCCTCCCTGAGCCGAACCTGGCGTGTGGCTGCCATGCCCCCTCGCTGGAGCCCCACCCGGGGCTTGGGGCTTCAGGTGCCGACCAGCCCAGCGGGCCCCACGGCTGAGAAGAGCGTCCCGTACCAGCAGACCCTGAAGGAGGCCCCTGGGCCCTCGGGGGAGGCCAGGGGCCCGAGCCGGCCCCTGCCCCGCACAGCCAGTGTGGTGGTCATTGGCGGAGGCAGCCTGGGTTGCCAGACCCTGTACCACCTGGCCAAGCTGGGCGTGAGCGACACCGTCCTGCTGGAGCGAGCGCGGCTGACGGCAGGGACCACCTGGCACACGGCGGGTAGGAGCCGGAGCAGGCGGGGACCGGGAGGGGCTGGGAGCCCGGGCAGCTGCTGGCCTCAAGGAGCAGGTGTGCCCTGTCTGGAGAACCCTCCCCCACCCCTGGGCACTGTGAGGGAGCGGGCCCTGGGCTTGGAGCTGACCCTGAGCTGGCTCCTGTGCCAGCAGCCCCGACCCCTCGAGGGCTCCCCAGCCTCTTCCTCAGCGTCCACTGGCCACAAGCCTGGCTTCCCAGTCTATGCTGTAGTCCAGAGCACGGACATGGCTCCAACCAGCCCAACCCACAGGGCTGTCCAGCCCCACAGCTGCCCTGCCCTGTGGCCTTGGTGGGGGGCAGGGAGCACCTGCTCTGCCTGCGGACAAGCCCACCTTCCTCGCTGGGCATCCCCAGGGTCCTGGCGGGCAGCGGTCACCCTCCCAGCCGCCCGATGCCGGGTCCACAGAACCCCCGGCACGGACTCAGTGGTCAGGCCACGGAGCGTTGGGGGCCTAAGGCGGGCACCCCTCCCGGCCAGGCCTGCTGTGGCAGCTGCGGCCCAGCGATGTGGAGGTGGAACTGCTGGCACACACGCGGCACCTGGTGAGCCGCCAGCTGGAGGAAGAGACGGGACTGCACACAGGCTGGATCCAGAACGGCGGCCTCTTCATCGCCTCCAGCCGGCAGCGCCTGGACGAATACAAGAGGCTCATGTCGGTGGGCGCCCTGCTCGTGCGGGGACAGCGATGGGGGAAGGAGGCGGGACAGGTGTCCCTGACACGCCCCCATCACCTTCCATTCAGAATCCCTGGAGCAGGACCCTGACTGGCCGTACCTGTCATTATTAGGCGGAACTTAGTCCTGGGAACACTTGATTGATTGCCTTTGAACCAATCACATGTGGAGGGGGCGTGGTCTCTCAGACCCGTGCTGGGCCCTGGAACCCAGGACCCAATGGGCTGTTCCCAAGGAGCCTGCCTGGGCAGGACATGGGCCTTTTGTTGCTTGGGGGACAGTGAGCACTCTGCTAGCTGTGGCCTTAGCTTTCTACCTGGCTGGTGGCAGCCAGCTCCAGGTTTCAAGGCTGCCCGGTGTCCTAACGGAGTAGACCAGTGGCCCGGGCACACCCCTGCTCCCTCCGCCCCAGGGCCTGCCAGCAGGAGGTTGGCCCACAGACCCTGGCCACTCAGCTCCTCCCTCCCCTCCCCTAGCTGGGCAAGGCCTATGGCGTGGAGTCCCATGTACTGAGCCCGGCGGAGACCAAGGTCCTGTACCCACTGATGAACGTGGCTGACCTCTATGGCACCCTATACGTACCCCACGACGGGACCATGGACCCTGCTGGCACCTGCACTGCCCTCAGCAGGGCGGCCACTGCCCGAGGAGCACAGGTACCCACTGCCCCCTGCCCGCCACGAGCCCTTCCCGGCCTTCCCAAGGACCCCTGCCCACTGCGAGCCCTCCCCAGTCTCCCCACAGGGACCCTGCCCACCAGGAACCCTCCCCAGCCTTCCACCAGCCCCTGCCTCCTGCGAGCCCTCCCCAGCCTTCCCAGGGGCCCCTTCCCACCACGAGCCCTCCCCATCCTCTGCAGGGGCCCTGTCTATGCTGGCTTCCCATTCCCTGCCAGCCATGTGTACTTAAATGCAAGAAAAAAAGCCAAGAGGCAGAGTAGGAAAGGGGAAGTGACCTCTCCCCACACACCTCCACCCCTGCCCACCACAAACATGGCTGTGTCCACGCTGAGCCTGCCACACCCTGCCCCCCACCACAAACATGGCTGTGTCCACGCTGAGCCTGCCACACCCTGCCCCCCCACCACAAACATGGCTGTGTCCACGCTGAGCCTGCCACACCCTGCCCCCCACCACAAGTGGGAGCTCTGCAGGTGGACGGCTCATGCCAGCTCCCAGATGGCGTCAAGGGCAGCAGGGCAGGGTCCTGGCTTTAGGAAGCAGCTCCTGTCTGTCCCAGGTCATTGAGAACTGCCCGGTGACCGGCATCCGTGTGCGGACAGATGACTTTGGGGTGCGGCGGGTTGCGGCGGTAGAGACTGCGCACGGCTCCATCCAGACACCCTGCGTGGTCAACTGTGCAGGTAGGACACAGAGGGGCTTCCCTCGGGTGGGCCGTACAGGGGTGAGGGGCGGGGGTCCCCGAGGTGGGCCGTGCAGGGGTGAGGGGCGGGGGTCCCCGGGGTGGGCCGTGCAGGGGTAAGGGACGGGGGTCCCCAGGGTGGGCCGTGCAGGGATGTGAGGTCCCTGTTGGGGCAGAGGTTCCCGGGTCCCACGTGGAGGCAGCCCCCTGCTGCAGCCGAGACGAGCTGAGTTGAGCACAGTGTTGTATCCACAGGAGTGTGGGCCAGTGCCGTGGGCCGGATGGCAGGGGTCAAGGTCCCGCTGGTGGCCATGCACCACGCCTACGTGGTCACGGAACGCATCGAGGGCATCCAGGTAGGTGGCAGCCCCCTGTTCTGCCAGGCCGGGCACTCCCAGTCCCCGTGCTGCCTGGTCTGACACCGGTTGTTCTGGTGCGGTGTCCTGGAGGTGGTACAGTTTGTTGCTGATGCTACAGCCTCAGTCCGCATCCACCTGCGTCCTGGTACCCATCCAGCCCCCTCCCTGCCGTGCCCTAGCCCAGCACCCTGCTCTGTGTCCAGGAGTTTTGGGGGACACTGGTTGCTTGCCTCCACTTTGCCTGTCATGGCGTGTACAGGTTTCAGGGTCTCCTGAGGCTGTTTGGGGGGCGCTGGGCTCCTGGAACCCCAACTGCCACATGGGGCTGCAGCTTCCTCCCTCTCTCCCCGCCTGTGTGACCCAGCAGAGATACGTGTTCTGGGCACGAGGGTGCTTGCCCGCGAGCTCATGGAGCTGGAGCAGGCCGGAGGTCCCCGATATGTGGGCACGGGCTCTGGTGTGCTAGAGGCTGTAGTGGCCCTCGGCCCTGCTGCACAGGGGTGCAGAGGGACCAGGAGTGTGACAGAGAGATGGGAGTGGCGGCTCAGAGGCCATGCAGAGGGTGCCCTGGACGCCTGCACCTGCCCCTCAGAGCCGCTTGCCCTTTCCTCTCCCTGCATGCGCGTGGCTTCCCTTTGGGCGTCGTGGAAATGAGGCCAGGCTTGCCCCTGTGTGGGCTGTGGCGGTGGGAGGGGCCGGGAGCTCAGGCCCGAAGGGCTGCTGTCCAGAGCGGCTGTCCCGGGCTGGTCCTTGCCCCTGAACATGTGTTAGCATGAGGGACCAAGAGCAGTGTCACGACGCTGTCTCACAGGCAGCCACCAGGGGTCGCCCTCAGGCTGCAGCGGATCCCAGGACTGCAGGGAAGAGTGGCCGGGGCTGGGGCTGCCTCCCCCTGCCCCCTGCCCCTGCCTCCCCCGCCTCCCCCTGCCTCCCCCGCTTCCCCCTGCCTCCCCTGCCTCTCCCTGCCCCCTCTCTCCCCCTGCTTCCCCCGCCTCCCCCTGCCTCCCCCTGCCCCCTGCCTCCCCCTGCCCCCTGTCTCCCCCCGTCTCCCCCTGCCCCTGCCTCCCCCTGCCTCCCCTGTCCCCCACCTCCCCCTGCCTCCCCTGCCCCCTGCCTCCCCCTGCCTCCCCCTGCTTTCCCCGCCTCCCCTGCCTCCCCCCCACCTCCCCCTGCCTTCCTCAGCCTCTCCTGCCTTCCCTGACTCCCCTGCCTCCCCCTGCTTTCCCTGCCTCTCCTGCCTCCCCCCACCTCCCCTGCCTCCCCCTTCCTCTCCCTTCCTCTCCTTGCCTCCCCCTGCCTCCCTCTGCCTCTCAGACCTGCTTCCGGGGAAGAACAGGTCCCAGTCAGCCCAGGTTCCTGCACCTGCCCCTCATGGTGCCACAGTCAGCCATAAGCCAGGGGTGTTGCTTACAAAACACCAGGAATTTGCCCCAACCCCCACAGCTGGGAGCCTACAGGAGCTCTGTGGGTGTTGGGGGCTGGGGCCGTGGTCTGCCTCCCAGCCACGGGGACTCCGGGCAGCTGGGCCTTCCAGAGGCGGCCGCTGGACAAGTGGGTTTGTGTGTGGTGGAGAAACCAGGTCTCTGGCCCTGACCAGTTCCTACCATGTCTGACCCCTTGGCAGCTCAGAGAAGGAGCTGTCTCATGCCAGGTGGCCCGTCTTGGGGGTGTGTGCCCCCACAAGCTGTCTGCAGGGCTTCGGAGGCTGCAGGACATAGGTGGCTCCCCTCCTGGGGCCTGGCCTTGGCAATGGCACAGCAGGTGGGTGTGGGCGGGCTCTGTGCAATGTCTCACACCCCTTTGCCTGCTTGCTACCACTGCCAAGCTGAGGAGTGGCACAAAGCTGTGCCCAAGCCTTGTCTGTGCCTGCCTGCTGCACAGTGGCTGGCGTGGAGGGCTATGAAGGAGCCAAGGGGGCAGCTGGCACATGGCCACTGCTGGGGATGTGGCAGCTATGGAGACGGTGACCGTGAGGGCTAAGGGGGCTGGCACTCTGGAAGAGGAGGCCAGTGAAGGCTGGAGCAGTCCCGGGGGGCTGAGGGCAGGAGACATAGTCTGGGGTATGGGGACAGATGGGGCCAGCAGAGGCAGAAGGGACCAGCTGTGGAGGTGGGGCCAGCAGGGTCAGGAGGGACCAGCCGGGAAGGTGGCACCAGTGGGGGCAGGAGGGACCAGCTGCGGAGGTGGGGCCAGCTGTGGAGGTGGGGCCAGCGGGACAGAAGCGACCAGCCAGGGCAAGTGGGGCCAGCTGGGGAAGTGGGGCCAGCAGGGGCAGGAGGGGCCAGCCGGGCAGGTGGGGCCGGCGGGGTTGGCAAGAGGGGGAGCAGCCAGCAGGTCTAAGTGCTTCCTCAGCCCATCAGTGGGGTTTTCTCTGCTGCTGCTCTGGTTGCTAAGACACGATCGTGTGTGCGTGAGTATTGTGAGTGTGAGCGTGTGTGTGCGCACGCAGGTGTGTGCCTGTGGTCTTTCATCTTCCCCCTTCCTCCACCTGTCACCTGTCACCTTCTCATCACCGCTCGCGACCAGTCATCCTGCGAGCATCTTCCCACCTAGCTGCCTTCTGTGTCGCTCCCACTCGGCCAGCTCTCATCACTCATCTGTCCATCTCCGTGTCGTCTGCCTGCGTGCCCTCTCGTAGCGTCGTCATTACCCAGCTGGGCCCAGTGCCCGTCAGTGGCCAGTCTAGCCCCAGCTCTCGGTGGCCCACGTGTTTTGGGGTCATGTGTGGGGTGCCAGGCCAAGTATCTGACTTTCGCCATGGCACCGTGTGTCCCAGGCCCGCCTGCTCAGTCTGTGGTCCCTGGCTCCTCTGGGGCGGGCCCTCTCTTCGCAACAGAGGCCACATTGGTGTCCATCCTCCTGCCCACAGGCCCTGGAGCCGGGTCCTCTGAGGCTCCTGTGGGCAGTGCCACCGTGAGCCCGTGGCCCACGCTCCGGGAGAACCCTCTGCCCACAGGCCCTGGGCTGCAGCTCCAGTCAAGGGCACACACTGTGTGTTGGGTGGCGTGACTGGGGGACAGGCCGGGTGTCCTGTCCTCCTTTCTGATCCGCCTGCCTCTTCCTGCTCCGGCCCCTCGCCATGCCTCCAGCGGGCACCCGCACCGAGCGGGGAGCCAGGTAGCCCTTCTCCCCCAGGAGTGCCATCAGGCAGGCTCTTCATCAGGCTGAGGAAATCCTGTGGCCAACTTGTGCAGAGTCTGTCGAGTCGACAAAACGTGAGGGGCTCCGCTGAGTGCTCTGCCTGCGCCTGTTGCGACGCTCATGTGTCGGGGAACAGCATGATTCCATGTGCAAGGCAGAGTGACAGAGACGGTGAGAGCGAGGGTGCTGGTTCACTCCCCAGATGCCAGCAGTAGCCGGCTGCCCAGGGCCTCCCTGTACCACGTGTATATTCACCCGCTGGCAGGGACTCGAGCACCAAGCTGTCCCCTGCCGGATTTCAGGTGCCTTGGCAGGGAGTTGGATGGGAGACTGAGTAGCTGGGACCGACCCAGGCCCTCCCGGGGGGAAGCAGGTGGCCAGCCCGCCGGGCCACAGCCCCCGCCCCCAGCTGGACGCGGCGGGCTGGCCAGTTTTCACAGTGAACTCCACCGTGGCGTGTTCTGTCGGTCACAGGATTCCAGTTGCTTCTGGAGCTAACCGGGTGTGTGTTTATTTGTTCAGCTGCATTCTTTCCTTGCCAAACACATGTCAGTTTTCTAAGGACAGGCCGGATGAGCCCAGAGAGGCCCCTGATCCCAGCACTGCCTCGCCTAGGGGCTCGTGGCCGCCAGCCTGGCCTGTGGTGGACTGAGGTGTGGCTGCCAGCTGTGGCATGCCTGTCCCCGCTACTGTGTGGTGTGTGGGTCTGCAGCCTGCGGGGGGCCTGCGGTTCTCCCTGCAGCTTAGGCTTTCTGCTCCTGTCACAGCAGGGTCCTGGCTGTGTGCAGAGAGGCGGGGCTCTGGAGAGACGTGTGTGTGTGTGTGTGTGTGTGTGTGTGTGTGTGTGTGTGTGTGTGTGTGCATGTGGGGGTGCAGAGAGGCGGGGCTCCGAAGAGGCATGTGCACGCAGCTACGGGTGGACGCCTCCAGGGGTCAGTCTGGGTTGAAGACTGGCCTGCCAGACGCTGTTCTGACCCGGATGGGCTTCCGGGCAGATTCAGGGGTACCTCCCCCGTCTTGGTGACCTCCGTGCGGCCTTTACCCCAGGACCTTTTGCTCTGCTGTCTGGAGCCCCCGCGGGGCTGACCAGGGCTGTCCTGTGTCCCTCCCTCTCCCCTTGTCATCTAGACATCCAGCTCGGCCTGACTTGCCCGCCTCCTGGGTGGCACTTCCGGCTGTCACGTCTGGGTTCTATCCCCCACGCCTTTCCTGCGGCACCCCATCTCGTGGCCCCCATCTCTGACGGGACTCCATGATGGGGGAGCTGCCAACCCAGGCAGCCGGACGGTCTCTGGTCGGCTGGGGGTTCCCGGGGGGGCCCCTCAGGACTCACCTCTGCACACGGGGCTCCCCCAGAGGTGCCAGGGTGGGGCGTGGTCAGAGCACACGCCCCTGGCCCAGCCCATGGTGACTTGCGTGTGGAGTCACGTTCTCCCACTCTCACAGACACCTGTGTAGTCGCTACGCGTCAGTGCACCCCGAGTTAGCTTCTGGCTCGGCCACTGCAGGTTCTGGGGGCCGGGCCCCAAATAGCCCCGTGTGAGCCCTGACCCCACCCACCACTGCACCCCTCTACTCCCCAGCCTCTCTCTCTGGTACACAGCAGGCTCGGGGCCCCTGGGCGAGGGGCTGCCACCCAGGCCTGTCCACACCCCCTTTCCAGAACATGCCCAACGTCCGTGACCACGACGCCTCAGTCTACCTCCGGCTCCAGGGCGACGCGCTCTCCGTGGGCGGCTATGAAACAAACCCTGTCTTCTGGGAGGAGGTGAGCTGCCATGACGCAGGCCGTGGGGTCTGTCCGCAGGCCGTGGGGTCTGTCTGCAGGCCGTAGGCTCCGCAGGCCGTGGGGTCTGTCCGCAGGCCGTGGGGTCTGTCTGCAGGCCGTAGGCTCCGCAGGCCGTGGGGTCTGTCTGCAGGCCGTGGGCTCCGCAGGCCGTGGGGTCTGTCCGCAGGCCGTGGGCTCCGCAGGCCGTGGGATCTGTCCGCAGGCCGTGGGCTCCGCAGGCCGTGGGGTCTGTCCGCAGGCCGTGGGCTCCGCAGGCTGTGGGGTCTGTCTGCAGGCCGTGGGCTCTGCAGGCCGTGGGGTCTGCCATTCCCTGAGCCCTCAGAGCCCAGCAGGTTCCCCTTCCCCCGGAGTGGGCCCACAGGGGCCTTGCCTGAGATGGGGCCAGGGAGGCTGCGAGGGGATGGGTGGTAGAGCTGAGAGGGTCTTGCTCACAGGTTGCCAGCAGCCTCGCTGACCGCTCGCTGCTCTGACCCCTGGGGCCTGGGAAGCCAGGCTGGCCCACCTGCCGATCGGGTGCAGGCTGGCCCCCAGAACACAGGGCCCAGGAGACGCCCCTGCTCTGCCCCCACAGGTGTCAGACACGTTTACCTTTGGCCTCTTTGATCTGGACTGGGACGTCTTTGCCCAGCACATCGAGGGTGCCGTCCGCAGGGTGCCAGTGCTGGAGCAGACGGGCATCAAATCCACGGTCTGTGGCCCTGGTGAGTGTGTGGTCCCAGCTGCGGTGGGCGTCCCCAGGCCCCAGGGGCTGGGCTGGCCAGGGGCTCACCCTCGGCTCCGGGCCCCCTGGGGGTTCTGGCAGCAAAGGGAGGCATGGGTAGGGGCAATCGCAGGGACTCCCTGGAGGAGGGGGCATGGTGCTGGGTCCCAGCATCTGCAGATCCTGCTCCCTTCCTGCTGTCCTGGCCCTGCAGAGTCCTTCACGCCTGACCACAAGCCCCTGATGGGGGAGGCCCCGGAGCTCCGCGGCTTCTTCCTGGGATGCGGCTTCAACAGTGCAGGTGAGCGCAGCCCCAGATCATAGCCAGGGCCAGGGGGGCTGACAGGGCACAGCCAGGCTGCCTGTGGCCCTCGATGGGCAGGGCCGGGACACGCTGGGAGGGCTGCGCGAAGGGGGGCCACGTCCCGTGGGAGGGCCGTCGTGGCCGGGAGTGGGAGGCCATGGCCCACGATGCGCTCCTGCCAGGAATGATGCTGGGAGGCGGCTGTGGGCAGGAGCTGGCCCACTGGATCGTCCACGGGCGCCCGGAGAGGGACATGTACAGCTATGACATCAGGTGAGTGTGTGCGCTGTGACATGGGCACAGAGCAGGAGAAGGGCGCTCCTTAATCCAGGTGGCTTCCTGGAAGAGGTGGCGTCCAGGGAGGAGGGGAGAAGGCAGCAGGCATTGCTGCCGAGGGGCGCCCGGGGCCCCTTGGACCCCCAGCTGTCCCAGGGAGCGGCCTGCTTGTCTCATCCTGCCTTATCATTGGGGAGACAAAAGCAGGGGACCAGGGCTGAGCTGGCATGGTGCTTAGGGTCCACGCAGCGGCGTGGAGACAGGCAGCCCCGACTGGCAGCTGGCCACTGATCTACGCAGTCACGGTGGCCCTGCCGCCAAAGTCCGCGAGCAGTGGCCAGGTGCGAGGTGGCCTTCTGCCCAGCAGGCGTCTCAGAGCAGGCAGGCTGGTGACCTGGGTACTGGAGGGCCAGGGGGGCAGCTCCCACCGCACCCACCCTGGGCAGTCTACAAGGGGGACCGCCCTGGTCTCTCCCAGCCCCCATCACTGTCAGGGTCCCTGCTCCACCGTAGACCCTATGAGGCGTCCTGACAGACCCCAGCTGCCCTGTGGCCTGAGGCCAGGGTGCTACGGGGGAAGGGAACTGCTGCCTCGCCCCAGCACACCCCACGGCCCTCCAGGCCGTCCCTGGTGGCCTGAGGAGAAATGCACTGAGGGGAGGGGGCAGGTGACCTCCAGTCCTGGCCCCTTGGAGACAGACAGGCGGGCGCTGAGGTCCCCCTCTCCGGCTGGGCCTGGGTGAGCTTTGAGCAGGCCTGGTGACCTCAGGGCCTGGCTGGGGCTCTCAGAAGGAGGAATGTTCCAGAAGCTGCAGGAGGCCTCAGTGTAGGGCCGGCCCCACCTCCCTGGCAGGCTGTGCTCAGAGCCCCGGCTCCCCTGGGCCTCTATGTGCTCAGCTGCAGCCGTGGGCCTCGCGCCCGGCCCAGAAGGGGGTCACTCGGGGCTGACAGGGCTGGGGCCCAGCATTCCAGCAGTTGCTGCTGAGAGCTGGGGGCAGCGGCCGCCCACCTGCCTGTGCCCGGGCCCTGCGCTGAGCGGGAGGGTGACCCAGCTTCCAGCTTGCAGACCCCGGTGGGAGCGGGCTGCGTAGCCTGCTGGGGACAGGCGGATGGTTGCCAAGAGGTCACAGCCCGGTTTGAGGCTGCGGTGTGATGACAGGGCGGTGCTCAGTGGCGGCTGGGGCCTAGGCCAGCACTGCCCACCCAGGATCCCTGAGAGCGCTGTGGGGAGGGGTGGCCGCCCGCGGCCGCTGGGCTCACCCAGGTGTGCCATGCGTGGGCAAGGGCAGGAGGAGGAGGCCCCTTCCTGGTGGGCCGACCCAGCCGTGACCCGGGCCCCTCCACGCTAGGCGTTTCCATCACTCGCTCACGGACCACGGCCGCTGGGTGCGCGAACGCAGCCACGAGTCCTACGCCAAGAACTACTCTGTGGTCTTCCCCCACGACGAGCCGCTGGCCGGGCGCAACATGAGGACGGGCCCCCTGCACGAGGTACAGCCCTCCTGGGCGCCAGCTCTGCCCCGGGCTGCCTCAGCCTCCGGGAATAGTCCTTGGGGAGGCAAAGAGGGCTGTGTGGGGGACAGCGTGGAAGTGGCTCCCCTCCAGTGGTGGAACACACCTGCAGGAGGCTCTGACTGTGCTGCGTGGCAGGTGCATGGCAGAGGCGGGGCAGGTAGACTGTTGGCTGTTGCGGAGATGGGCACCTGCCTGTGGGGCTGCCTGGGGTAAGCCCCAACTCCTGAGGGCTTCGGCTCCCAGGATGAAGCTGCAGGCAGACACCCTGCCCTGGGCTGCCCGGCCTCCTGTGCCTGGCCTTGGCCCTGCCCTGGGCTGCCCGGCCTCCTGTGCCTGGCCTTGGCCCTGCAGTGGGGCTGCCTGGCCTCTGGGTGTCCGCAGCCTGCGCTGGCCCCTCGCCTGTCAGTCTCTCCTTGCATCCCGACAGCTCAGTAATCTCCTAGCAGGACCACTGTCCTCATGGCAGCTTTGACATGTCCCGTGATGGCCCGAGGGGGCACGCCAAGCACACCGGCCCAGGACAGAGGCCCCATGGAGACTCCGACAGGGGGGTTCACCGGGGGTCCCTGCTCTGTGTAACCAGGCCTCTCCACACTCAGAGTGTGCCTGGATGGCTGCTGGGCTCTGCTGTTGCCCATCTCCCTGGCCGGCTGGCCTCAGCTGCCCGAGCCCTCCCAGCCTGGCCTGGGCCCCATCACCTGTCTGGCTGATCCAGCCCTGGGCCAGGGTCCTGGCGAGGCCATGCAGGAATTTTTCCTAGACGTTCGTTTTTCATGATAGCCGCTGGTGCCGGAGTCACTGGGTCTGTGGCCACCTTCCTGAGGCGAAAGGACACAGCGTGTGCGATGGGCCGTCTTGGCCATCTCATCCGTTTATTTCATTTATCTGAAAGGTGGCTGGACAGGGAGAGGCAGGTGGGCTCCTAAGTGCCCCTGGCAGCAGGCGGGGCCAGCTTGGAGCCAGGAGCCAGGGTCTGGCCATTCAACCTGGACTCCTGTGTGAGTGACAGACCCTGCTGCTTCAGCCAGTGCCTATGGCCTCCCAGCAACTGTACTGGCCGGAAGCCAGAGCTGTGAGCAGGACTGGGACTTGAACCCAGGCCTTAGGGGCCAGCTCAGCCACTAGGCCCAATGTCACCTGCAGTTCTAACCACTTTTTAAAAGAATTGTTTGAAGGGCAGTTACAGAGAGAGACCGGGGTCCTTCATCTACTGGTCGCTCCCCAGATGGCCACCGAGGCTGGGGCTGGGCCGAGCCAGTGCCAAGAGCCTGGGACTTTGTCCAGATGCCCCACGTGGGTGCAGGGGCCCAAGCACACGGGCCATCCCCCCCACCCCCGTTCTCCCAGGTGTATCAACAGGGAGCCGGTAAGTGGAACCGCCGGGACTCGAACCGGCGCCCATAGGGATGTCACGTGCTGCCCCGAGCTGTCCCATAGAACACATTTCAGTGGAGAGCAGTGCTGGTACACTGTCGTCTGTCCCCTGCCACTGTCCAGGTTGGCTGGCTCATTCCGTGTCCCCCTGTGAGCCCTGTGCTGTCATAGTCGTTCCATGTCTCCTGCCTGAGCCTGGCCACCAGCCGGCTACCCTGGGGACACACACACGCCCGGCCTCCTGTGTCTGCCTCCGCTCCCTGGGAGTGTTCTCCAGGTCTGTCCATGTCCGTGGCAGGTGTCGGGGCTCCCCTCTCCTTGTGGCTGGGTGAATGCTCAAAGCCTTCGCACGCCTTGCTGGTCTGGCCGCCCATGCGCGGGGGGACCCTGGCGGTCCCCACCTTCTGCTGCTGCGAGTGGTGTGGCTCCAGTCCTGGCAGAACGGAAGCCCAGCTCGGGCCGTCCCTCCCCCAGGAGTCCTGTGGCAGAGCCTGTCGGGACGTGGGTCCTTGGGGATGTGGCCTCCAGGCCTCTAGGACGTTGACCTAGGGGTGGCGTTGCTGGGGCGGCCAGGGCAGCCGCTTCCCACAGCTCTGGAGGCCCGGAGGCCACAGGTCAAGTGAGGGGTGAATCGGCCCCCTCTGCCACTCCCCAGGCAGCAGTCCTGACAGAGCAGGGGCCCACCCTGTGGTCGCAGCCACCCTGGGGCTGGAGGCCTCCCATCATGGCGTAGGGAGGGGGTGGCGTGACCAAGCTCATTCCACAGATGTGGGAGTCTCGGGCAGCTTGGGCTGGGCTCCGTAGGCCGCCTGGGGGCCCCGGCTGCCCCCCATGACAGGTACTTGCTTCCCTGCCCCCCCAACCCCAGGAGCTGCTTGCCCACGGCTGTGTGTTCCAGGAGCGCCATGGCTGGGAGCGGCCAGGCTGGTTTAACCCTGGAGGGCCAGCTCCGGTGAGTGGGCAACCCGTGCAGCCCAGCTGCCCAGCCCCCTTGCCCACCCCTCCCCCGTCCTATAGGGCTCAGCCTTCTGCAGTCCACACCTGCCCCTCCCCCAGGGTGCAGAAGGCTCCGTTGTATTTTTGTCAGTCCCAACTGTTAGTTTGTGCCAGTGGGCGGTTGGTTAGTAGGCGGGTTTGTACATCGGCGTGTTCAGTTTATCCACCGAGATTCGCACGTCGTGGCCTCTGGGGCCCTCCCACACCTCCCTGCACCTTGCACCGGGCTCTCCTGGGAGAGTGAAGCCAGGCATGCCTGCTGGCTGCAGTGGCGCAGGGGCACCCAGGAGGCCCCGCTGCTTGTTGGGCTCTCCCCATGCCCTCCAAGGCAGCCCTCTCCAATTGCCATGGCAACCCAGGCCCCACGACAGGGTCAGGGCATCAGTGAGGCGTGGACAGCCAGTGTGAGAACACGACCTCGGCTCGGGGGCACAACGGCTTCAGCCGTGTCCTCCTCACCCCGTGCTGGCCCCTGTGCGCCCAGCCTATGCAGGCTGACCCAGTCTGCCCTTGGTCACCTCTGCCCTTGGGCACCTCTGCTCCCTAGGGAGGGGGGTGGCTCAGGCCCTGGGCCCAAGATGAGCAGGCTTTTCACCCCGCCTGAGACACTGTAGCTGGGGGCTGCCCACAGTGTGGTCTCAGGAGCTTGGCGAGCACCTGCCCAGGCAGGAGGAGGCTCCGAGCAGGATGCTGGGAGGCTCCGTCCTGCCCTGAGGGCCTGGGCCCACCTTCAGGGTGGGTGCAGCAGCCTCACCTCGGCTATCACCGGGAAGCAGGGGCAAAGCTCAGGCAGGTGGGCCTGGGGCTCCGGGCTGGTACTTACGCAGGTGGGGTGGGGGTGGCTGCCAGGCAGAGGCCAGCTCTGGGGCCATGCTGCTGCCCACCTGGCTGGTCCTACGAGGCCCGGCTCAGAGCGGGGGCTGGGTGCCCAGTGACCATGGCCGTAGCACCCCACATCCTCACTGTGCCCGCTCCTCTTCTCCCGGGCCCCTGGTCAGTGAGCCGCCTCCCGCCTTCCTCGCGCTGCCCTAGCTCTGGCCCCGTGTCCCCTGCAGTGCTCCTCACGGTCCCCACCTTCGTGCTAGCTCCCACTCTCAGTCCCAGCTGTGCAGGACGGCTGTGCCGTTTGCACACTGTGTGTGTGGCACGTGCCGGAGCGCAGGCAAGGCGCACTGGCTGGCCCGCCCCACCAGCTTGGCGCTTGCCCCGGGCATCTTGTCCTCCCAGGTACTGGGCTATGACTACTACGGGGCCTACGGGCACCAGGCACGCTCGGACTCCGCGTACGGCAGGCTGCTGCGGGAGGAATACACCTTCGACTTCCCGCCCCATCAGGATGTGGTAAGTAGCCGAGCCCACCAGAGGCCTTGGCACTCGCTCTCGGGGTTCCTGTCCACCTGCCTGGGGCTCAGGGTGCAGACAGATAACTGCTGGCTTCCTGTCCGGCATCCCCCCACCCGTGGTTAGCCCCCAGGGCAATTGCTCCAGGCAGGCTGGGGGGCAGTGCTTTGCAAAGCTGGCCTGGGCATGCGGCAAGGCCAGGCCATGGTGGGCACAGAGCCCAGGAGGGGCCCTGTCGGGGCAGAGCAAAGTCGCCTGGCAACTACAGGGGGTGTGTCTGTGGGGTGGCATGGACTGTTGCTCGTGGCCCCTCTTCTCCAGCTGGAAGGTGAGGCCACTCCGGGCACGGGCTGGGACGGTGCCCAGGGGTCACTCCCCGAGCAGATGACGGGCAGCCAGGACCTCGTGTTGGCAGCAAGGTGACCTCGCTGAGAGTCCTTGCTCTGTGTGGTCCCTGGGGAAGGCATTGCCTTCTGCCCACCCTTGTCCCTTTGCGCCCTCCAAGTCTTGCCCTGTATAGTGTCCCTGCTTCAGCCGAGGGGGCTGCGGGGGCCTGAGTCCCCAGCACAGCACTGCAGGTGTGCAGAGGCACCTCCACCCCCACCTGTCGCCGATGCCCATGGGACTCCTGGCCCTCGAGGAGGTGGCGGTCTGGGGAAGATGCCAGCTGGGCTTGGGCCTCCTCCCGCCTACACGGTATGGCTGAGCCAACCCGCGAGTGAGGACACGCACGTCTTCCTGGTACTGGCCACTTCCCCAGCCTGGGGAGGCTGTGCTGGGGCTGTCTGCGGGCTTAGACACATTAGCACAAGTGCCTGACACAGTGGGGTTCCAGGGAGGACGGTGCCTGGGGCTGTCCTGGGGGGTGCAGGGCTCCCCCGTGTGAGGCTCCTCCCCAGGGCGGCGTCCGTGCCACCAGCCGGCTGTGCTGCCTGCCCCGCCTCTGGCCTCAGCACAGGGGTGCTGCGAGCAGGTGGGCCAGGGGAGATGGCATGACCCTGGGCCTATGCTACTGCGATCTCTCTTTGCAACAAACCCCTGTGGCTGGCACCCCAGCTCTGCAGCTGCTGGCACGTTGGAGGCTGAGTGGGAAGTAGGGAGGACAGCACAGCAAACAAGGCCGGGGAGGGCCCAGGGCAGGGCAGGGCACTGGGCGCTGGGCACTGGGCACTGGGCTCAGGCTGGCAGCTTCACGGGCTGTGGTCACAGCCCGGGCAGGGCACTGGGTGCAGGGCACTGGACACTGGGCTCAGGCTGGCAGCCTCACGGGCTGTGGTCACTGCCCAGGCAGGGCATCCCTAGAGGGCGGGCTCACGTGCTGTGCAGCCAATGCCACATCTGGTTGTAAATGATTTTTGTCCCCTTGGAGGAACTTGGTAGCCGTTGGCAGTCCTCGCCCACTGGCATCTCTGGGTCAGGAGGTGCCGGCTGCTCCGATTCCCACCCGGCTCTCCATCTCTCCCTGCAGCCCCGAGAGAGGCCTGTGAGTGCTGCCTCTGCTGTGGGTCCCTGAGCCTGCCCTGGGCTCAGCTCCCTGCCCTGGGCTCAGCTCCCTGCCCTGGGCTCAGCTCCCTGCCCTGGGCTCAGCTCCCTGCCCTGGGCTCGGCTCCCTGCCCTGGGCTCGGCTCCCTGCCCTGTGTCTACTGAGCTTCGAGGTCGGGGAGTGAGTCCCCACGGGTGGTGATCTTGTTTAGGTCTATCCACTTACTTTTGTTTATCTGAAAGGCACCGGGATGGGAAAAAAAAAAAGGGAGAGAGAATTTGTTCACGCACTAGTCCCTCCCCACATGCCTGCACATCGGGCTCGGGGTCAGGTCAAAGCCAGGAACTGAGACCTCCTGTGTGGGGGTCCCTCTGTGGGTCCCAGGGGCCCCAGGCATTTGGGCTGCCACCTGCTTCCCTGGCCCCAGGGTCCCTGCCACCTGGATGCTGGTGCGAGCAGCGGCAGCTTGCTGCGGTGCCACGGACCTCCCTGGAGCACGTGGACGTGAGCTCTGGCTGAGCTTCCGAAAGGCACTCCCGGGTAGCTGGGCTGTGGCCCCACCCGCGACTGTGGGACCACGGACACAAGGCTCTCCACTCAGATCTTTAATTTCCGGGAAGAGCGTTTGCAGTGTCTAGAGTATGACTTGCATTCCTTGATTCCTAAGCATTTCATGATTGCCATACTTCTGTGAGTCCTTATTCATTATTTGTTAAGTATATATGTATCTATTTTGAAATTCCAAGTGAGAGAGACGGAATCTTCCATCCACCTGTCTGCTCCGCAGATGGCTGCAGGGGTCAGGACCAGCCAGCCTGAGCCAGGAGCCAGGGACTTCGTCCGAGTCTCCCCCGTGGGCCCGAGCGCGTGGCCAGCTTCTGATGCCTTTCCGGGCTGTTAGTGAGGAGCTGGGTTAGAAGTGGAGCAGCTGGAACTCGAACCAGCGCTCTCTTGGGCTGCCAGCGTCACGGACAGTGGCTTCAACTGCTGTGCCTCGGTGCCAGCCAGCAGAGGGTTCTTTTTGGTGCTGTTGAATCGTCCCCTGGGTTTTCTCTTTGGGCCCTTTAGTGGCTGCAAACAGCAATTCTTCCACACCGACCTTGATCTTGTAACCTGGTTGGACTGTTGTATTAGTCCTAGTAGTTTCTAGTGAATTCCTTGGGGATTTCTGCCTAGGAGGCAAAACCCTCTTGCCTGCACTCTGTTTTATTGTTTGTTCCCTGGCTAGTCACCGCAGCCAGCCTCAGCAGGATGGACACCCGGCCGGCTCCCTGTCGTCAGGCCAAGGCTGTAGGCCTTGGTGTCTCAGGGCAGCTGTGTGACTGGAGCCCAGGCTGTTTTCTGGGTTCAGGGAGGTCCCCTTTATTCCTCGTCTGGTTGGGTTTTTCTCATTGACAGGTGGATTTGGGCCAACCCTTCTGTGCATCCGTTGGATGTGCTGACGGCTGATTCTATTCTCACTTCTTAAAGATTCACTCAGTTATTTGAAAGGCAGTTGCCGAGAGAGAGAGATTCCATCAGCTGGTTTACTCTCCACATGGCTACAATAATAGCTGAAACTGGACTAAGCATAGTCTGGAGGCTGGGGCCACATCCGGTCTCCCACGGGGTGCAGGGGTCCCAGGACTTGAGCCGTCCGCTGCTTCCAGCATCAGCTGGAGCTGGAAGGGAAGTGGAGCAGCGGGGACTGGAGCTCACAGGCAGCGGGCTTAGCCCCCTGTTCCCCAGAGCCGGCCCTGTTTGCCCCTTAGTGTGGTGACGTCAGACCCACCTTGTGAGCTGGGGTGAATCTGCCTCGCCGTGTCTTGTTGGGGACCCCTGCCTGCGCGTCCCCTGAGAGCTGCTGGCCTGCGGCTTCCAGCCTCGGGTGAACTGGAAAGTGCTTCCCGCTCCTGCAGAGACATCTGGGAGTGCTTGGTGTTCATTCAGCTTTCAGTGTTGGCTTGGATCTGCGGTGGAGCTGGCATCCGGGGGCCTGGGCCTCTTGATGCCAGTCCCCGTGCGGCCAGGGTGCCAGCCAACAGCTGCCCGCAGGCCCGCCTGGCCCCCTGCCCCGTCCTGCGGACCCCTGTTGGGTTTCTCTCTTTCTCGTCCGTCCGGCTGAAGTCTTGTCGGTTTGCTGATATTCTCCGAGAGCCGACTTTAGGGTTTTGCCAATTTTCTCTGCGTCTCCACTGCTACCTCAATTGTTTCTTTGCTCCTGCAGGCTTGGGGTTTCACATGGTCCCTCCCCAGTGTCTGGAGTCTGAGGCCACCGTGGCTCAGCAGCATCTGGTGGCACAGGTGGTGTGGGCGTGGGTCCCGCAGGGGCTGGGTCTCTGAGGGCCCTACAGTTTCCTGGCGAGTTTTGTCTTCCAAGTGCTGGCTTCTCAGGGCTGCGCTGCTGAGCTTCCCGCCCTGTCAGCTTCCCATCTTCTTCTTCTTCTTCTTTTAATAGTAAAGGGTGTATTTATTTGAAAGAATGACAGAGAGGACAAAGAGAGAGAGAGATCTTCCATCTGCTTGTTCACTTCCCAAGTGGCCACAACAGCCAAAGTTTAGCTGACCGGAAGCCAGGAGCTTCTTCCAGGTCACCCGTTGGGTGCAGGGTCCCAAGGCTTTGGGCCGTTTTCCGCTGCTTTCCTGAGCCAAGCAGGGAGCTGGATGCAAAGTGGAGCAGCTGGGACGTGAACTGGCGTCTAGTGGGAGGCTGGTGTCACAGGTACCATATGTGGGCCTCCCTTGTTCCTTTCCGCCACTGCTGGTGGCACTGAGGAGTGTCGCCTGGCCTCAGCCACTCTGCCCTCCCTGCGCCTTGCTCAGTCCAGAGAGTGACCGTCACCCGGCTGGGAAGGCTGTGGCGCGGACAGCCGGGGAGATGGGGCTTGGGCAGCTGTGTGGGGAGCAGGACGGGCACTCCACGCCCCGCCGTTCTCCCCCGTCCCCCCACTCTCCGGGACCTTCCAGATCAAGGCCGAGTGCCTGGCCTGCCGCGGGGCCGCCGCCCTCTTCGACATGTCCTACTTCGGGAAGTTCTTCCTGCTGGGGCCGGACGCCAGGAAGGCTGCCGACTGGCTCTTCTCCGCCGACATCAACCGGCCCCCTGGTACGGCCCGGGGCTGGGGCTGGCTCCCCTCAGCGCTGGGCAGACCCGCAAGGGGAAGACCAGCCCTGGCACCTGTGGGTGACACCATCAGCCCTAGGCCCTGCCCAGCCCTTGGCTGTCACCAAGACCTGGCCCCAGGACCCTCCTTCTGCTTCTCCTCCTTGCTCCATTCTGACTCACCTGATCCAGGTGCACCACGCTCAGCCACCAGCCCGCGTCTGTTCCCCCACCATCCTGCCCCACACTCACCCACCATCCTGTCCACGCTCTCCCCCACCCCAGCCTGGCCTGTGCTCTCGGGGTCACCTGGGCGGTCCCACGCTCACCCCCACCCACAGTGCCCTCGGGGTCACCTGGGCTGTCCCAGGCTCACCCCCACCCCCCAGTGCCCTCGAGATCACCTGGGCGGTCCCACACTCACCCCTACCCCCCAGTGCTCTCAGGGCCAACTGGGCGGTCCCATGCTCACCCCCACCCACAGTGCCCTCGAGATCACCTGGGCGGTCCCATGCTCACCCCCACCCACAGTGCTCTCGGGGTCACCTGGGCAGTCCTACGCTCACCCCCACCCCTCAGTGCTCTCGGGGTCACCTGGGCGGTCCCACACTCACCCCCACACCCCAGTGCTCTTGGGGAGGCTGGGTGGCTCCACGCTGTCTTGCAGTGCAGTCCCGGCCCTAAGCACCCCTTTCTCGTGAGGATGGGGCCAACCTGGTGGGCACCAGCTAAGGCTCTCACATTGACCTGGGGATGCAGAGTCCCGGGTGAGGGCCACACAGGCCCCCAGGTTGGGATCTCACAGTGTGTAATTTGAAGGCGGGGGGACCACTGGGCCAGGGCTAGGAGCCCCCAAGGGACCCAGGGTGGGGCTGGGAGGCCCTGTCAGGGCATTTTAAGCAGGACACAGCATCTCTGCCTGTAGGGGACCACCAAGGGCTGACCTGTCCATTGCTGCCCTGTCTGAGTCCCTGACAGGCATGGCAGAGCCAGCGGCCCCTTTGAAGTCACCTCCCGTTGGGGCTTCCAGCCTGGGCTTTGCCCTCCCACACTGCCCTGTCACCCCCAGGCTCCACCGTGTACACCTGCATGCTGAACAAGCACGGTGGCACCGAGAGCGATCTCACCGTCAGCTGCCTGGCCCCGGGGGCCACGGCCTCCCCACTGGCCCCCGCCTTCGAAGGTAAGAGAAGCCACCGGGTACACCACCCTGGGGACTGGTGGCAGCTGCTGGCAGGGTCGACAGCCTGCAGTGCCACAGGCTGCCCTGTCGGCTACGCGCAGGCTGAGTCCCCCCACGGCTGGCAGTCCCAGCAGGCAGTAACTTGGTGATTCTTTCTGTCTACGGTGGCTGGAATGTCTCACTGTGGGTGTGCCCGGCTCACCTGCCCAGGTTGGGATAGCCGGGGTTGGGCTGTGCTTTCCACTCACGGGTTGGCAGAACCGTGGTCTCTCCTTCCACGTGCCGGCTGGAGCTCACCTGTCCCCATACCTCCCAGCGCCAGGAGCTCACGGCTGCTGCTCCTTGTGACACTGAGCCAGGGGCTGTCTCCTGGAGCTCGCACTCCTGGTCCTGACCCTTGGTTCACACTAAGGTAGGGCCATCCCTGGTCCTGTGCCCTGCCCTGGGAGGAAGGCAGGTGGCAGGTGCCAGCTGGCAGGTCTCCAGGAGGGGGTCTCAGCTTGAGATCTTGGCCCAGTCAGGCCCCGGGTGCATCAGCATGGCCCAGTCAGGGTCTCAGGGAGTGGAAGGGAAGGAGGGAGGGCAGGAGGAGACGCGAGGATGGTGGTTTCTATGCACCTGCTCTGTCAGGCGCTGGGAGGAAGCCCACGTGTGTCTGGGAGGCAGGAGGCGGGTTGGAAGAGCAGCCAGTGGGGCCAGGGGTGGGGACAGAGGTGTGGGGCACTGTGAGGGGTGGGGACAGCTGTGGGGGTGGGGACAGAGGTGTGGGGCAGAGAGGGGCGGGGACAGCAGTAGGGTGGGGGCAGAGGTGTGGGGCAAAGAGGGGCGGGGACAGCAGTGGGGGTGGGGGCAGAGGTGTGTGGGGCACCGTGAGGGACGGAGACAGCTGTGGGGTGGGGGCCTGTTGGAGAGTGATGAGGTGCCAGGGACAGCAGTGGGGGTGGGGACAGAGGTGTGTGGGGCACCGTGAGGGGCGGGGACAGTTGTGGGGGCACCAGGCTGTCCCAGTTCTCTGGTCCTGCGAGGGGACCCGGGGTGGCAGCTGGAACAGACTCCTTGGCCAGTCGGGGGGGGGGGGGCTACAGCCAGGTGTGTGAGATGAACCTGCAGTGGACTGGCCTCTGGCCTTGAGCCCTGGCACTCTGCTTTAAGTAGTCAACCAGAGATGGCTGCCTGGAGGAGGAGGATCCACCCTGCTGCCTACCCGGGGACCCTGTGGCCTTGGTGATTTGGGCCATCCCAGGAGAGGCTGGGGGGACTGCAGGTGGCTGAGATGCCTGGCCCTGCCAGCAAGCACACACGCATGGGCACGTGTGTGAGAGTGTATGTGTGTGTGTGTGTGCCTGCATACACCCTGAGCATCCCAGGAGAGGGTGGGGGGCTGCGGGGCCAACGAGGGGGCTTCTTGGTGGGTGCTGGGAAAGCATGGGCTGTCTTGAAGGCCGGGGTACAGGACCAGGGAGACTGGGTCTTTGGGGTGGCTTGAGTGAGGGCAGTGGGAAAGAGGAACAGCTGTCCAGGGTCTCGTGGCAGGCGGCGGCAGTCCGGGACAGCTGGATGCTGAGGAAGCCTGCAGGCAGCACAGGCTACTGGCGAGGCTCTGTCCCACCCTGGTGCCCGGATGAGTGGCCGGGCTCCTTACAGAGTTCTTGCAATGAAGGCTGTTTGTCTTCTTGCCCAGGAGGCCCCGGAGCTCTGGACTGAGTCAGGTGTGTTTGTTCTGTTCCAGGGCATGGCTACTACCTGGCCGTGGGTGGGGCTGTGGCCCAGCACAACTGGTCCCACATCACCACTGTGCTTCAAGACCGCCAGTTTCGTTGCCAGCTTCTCGACAGCTCCGAGGACCTGGGCCTGATCAGTATCCAGGGCCCAGCCAGGTGAGCAGGCCTCAGGACGGACCGTTCTGACGGAAGACATAGCAGATGCAAATGCCTTGGGGCAGGGCCAGGCCTGGTATGGGAAGGAAAGCCTCAGAGCTGTGTCCTGTTGTTTCTGGGTCATGTGGCTGTGTCCTGAGGTTCCTCAGTCACATGGCTGTGTCCCATGGTTCCTGGGTCACGTGGCTATGTCCCGAGGTTCCTGGGTCACGTGGCTGCATCCCATGGTTCCTGGGTCATGTGGTTGTGTCCCGAGGTTCCTGGGTCATATGGCTGCATCCCATGGTTCCTGGGTCACGTGGCTGCATCCTGTGGTTCCTCAGTCACATGGCTGTGTCCTGAGGTTCCTGGGTCACATGGCTGCATCCTATGGTTCCTCAGTCACATGGCTGTGTCCTGAGGTTCCTGGGTCACATGGCTGTGTCCTGAGGTTCCTGGGTCACGTGGCTGTGTCCCGTGGTTCCTGGGTCACATGGCAATGTCCCATGGTTCCTGGGTCACATGGCAATGTCCCGTGGTTCCTCAGTCACATGGCTGTGTCCCGTGGTTCCTGGGTCACATGGCTGTGTCCTGAGGTTCCTGGGTCACGTGGCTGTGGCCCCGACTTGGCTGTTCCCAAGGCCAGAGTGGTTTACGTGTGTTCAGGGCAGGAGACAGCGAGGAGCAGCAGCAAGGGGTGGGGTGCTGGCCTTCAGGCCATCCTCGGGGTCCCTGCCTGTTGGGTGCCCGGCTGGGCTTGCACCCATCCTCTGAAGGAGCCCGACCCCACGTGTCCCCCAGGAGAAGGGAAGGGGGGCTCCCTGGCCTTCCGTGTGGGGAAGGTGGGGAGCAGGGCCAGGCAGGCGAGGAAGGTGCCACCCCAGGGGGCAGGCCCTGCTGCCACCTCACTAGCGTTTGCCTGGCGTGTGAACTGTGTGATGGAAGCTTCCGGCAACGCTGCCTCACGGGGATGCCCTGTGTGACTGCATTTGTAGTTGAAAACATTGTTATTAAATGTATTCACTTCTTTGAAAGGCAGAGTGACAGAGGGGGAAACACACAGGTGGGGAGAGAGCCAGTTCCTTGAGCTGCTTTTCACTTGCTGCTTCACTTGGCAGACACCTGCCACAGCCAGGCTGGGCAAGGCCAGGGGTCAGGCTCTCCAGCCTCGCCACCCACGGCAGTGACCACGATCCTGCTTCTTGAGCTGTAACCTGCACGAGCTGGATCTGAATGGAGCCAGGATTTGGACCCAAACCTACAGATCGGGATGTGGGCACTGCACAGGGCAGCTTAAGCTGCTGCCCATGAGTGTTCCATGGCAGCGGGCTTGAAGCCACCCAGCCTGGCACGGCCAACACAGCAAACATGCTGGGCAATGGGTGTCCCACAGCACCACACCATCCTCAGCTGCACAGCCTCATGAGGCAGGACCCGCTCTGCAGGGCGCCACAGGGGGAGGCAGAGCCCTCCCACCTCCTGCTCCTCCCATCGGAGGGACAGCTTCTGGCTGCCCAGTGGGGGCCCAGTGGACTGGGACCTGCCTGTCCTCTCTTGGTGGCGTGGGTTAGAGCCCTCAAGTCCTTGGCCCCAGGCTCACCCCTCACGAGGAGGACTCTGGGGCCTCTGGACTCCCAGGGCCTCTCCTTGGTGTGCAGAGAGCAGGTGCGCAGGCCGCTGTATGCTCTCCCGGGGCTGTGTGCGTGGGTGCCGGGGGTTACATAAGGCTCTTGGCAGGCTGCCTGGCGCCAAGCACCAAGGCGATGTGGGTGGCAGCTCCTGGCATGGAGGGGGTAGGGACGGGTTGGCAGCCCTTCTGAGCCATGGCCGCCTGGCATCCGCTGGGACCCCACATGGCAGAAGTGGGGGGCTGTCTTCCGCTGCCGTGCCAGTCATGACAGGATTGGGGAGGGGCTCCTGGCTCAGGAGGGAGAGGGGAATATGTGTGTCCTAGGAGAGCTACCCTTGTAGTATGGGCTGGACCCCTAAGCCCGAGGCTCGGGCAGTCTGGGAGGGCTTCCCAGAGGAGAGAGCTGCTGAGCCAAGAGCTCACGGGTGACCCAGAGCAGGGGAACAGGGTGAGGATGTGGGGGACACAGGGTCAGGGGTCCTGGAGGGGAGACAGCAGGTGTGCTGGGGCCTCGGCCGCTGTGGTCGGCCCAGCTTCATCTCGGGTAACTCAGCAAGGGTGGGGGCCAGACGCGGCTGCGGGCCGTGGAGAGGGACGCGGAGGTGCCCTGACCTCACAGGCAGCTGCATGGGTGACACATGTGGGCTTGTCTGCTCAGCCCTGTCGTCGGGGGCAGAGGGTGTCCTGTGCTGGGAACGGCCCTGAAGCTGGCCAGCCCTTGGGCAACTGGCATCCTCTGGGAAGGCTGTCGGGGAGCAGAGCCAGGCCCTGCCACCCCCTGAGGCAAGCACCAGCCCCAGACCCACTTAGAACCGGGTGGGTGTGAGGCCGGGTGAGGCCTATCCAGCAGAGGAGGGGTTCTGGGCTGGGGGTGTCCAGGAGCCGCTCCTGCCCCGCGTGGGGCGTGTCTCCGGCACAGCGGCCCCGGGGCAGTGACTCACACTGGCTGGTGGTGACTACATCGAGGCTGTTGGCCTCCCCTGCCTCGGTTTACCCCTCGGGGAGGCAAAGACCCTAGGGAGCTTGTCCCAAATCTGCCCATCCCTCGCGTCATCTCACAGATACACAATCCCCAATGGTCCCGTGACCTGGGCTCCCACTGTGCCCCCGGGTGGCCTGGGCTCCCACTGTGCCCCCCGGGTGGTCCCATGGCCTGGGCTCCCACTGTGCCCCCCGGGTGGCCTGGGCTCCCACTGTGCCCCCTGGGTGGTCCTGTGGCCTGGGCTCCCACTGTGCCCCCCGGGTGGTCCCGTGGCCTGGGCTCCCACTGTGCTCCCCCGGGTGGTCCCGTGGCCTGGTTTCCCACCCTGCCCCCCAGGTGGTTCCGTGGCCTGGGTTCCTACTCTACCCCCCCCCCGCAGTCCCGTGGCCTGAGTTCCCACCCTGCCCCCCCAGTGGTCTTGTGGCCTGCGTTCCCACCCTGCCCCCTGGGTGGTCCCATGGCCTGCATTTCCACTGTGCCCCACCCCACCCTGGCGCCTGGTCCAGGCCCCCACCCACCCCAGTGCTTTCTCCCGCAGTCGGGCCATCCTGCAGGAGGTGCTGGACACGGATCTGAGCCACGAAGCCTTCCCCTTCTCCACCCACAAGCTGGTGAGAGCTGCCGGGCACCTGGTAAGTAGCAGCGGCCACCGCCCTGGCGCATGAGAAGGGGTTCATGCCGCCTGGCTCTGCCAGCCTCAGGGAGGTCCCTTTGCCCTGGTGGGCCTTGGTCCCCAGGTGTGTGGTGGAGAGCAGAGGGCCCTGCCCGCAGGTTGCTGGGGGCTCCGAGGGGCAGGGCCCCTGTTGTAAACATTTCTGTCCTCAGCCTCCAGCCAGGCACGTGCTGGCAATGCTGCCCCTTGTAAGGCCTGCCCCTCCTCCCTGGGTGGGGTACCAGCCTCCTCTGCAGATGACAGGGCCGTGGGCAGCCTCAGCCCCACCCCTGTCCACTTGCCAAGAGCCAGCCAGCCCCTATGGACCACCTCTGGCCTGTACCCCTGCCAGTCCCAGGAAGTGGGGGGCTGTGAATGGAGCTGACCCAGGGCCCAGCCGGTGCCTGCGCGGGGCTGTGTCTGGCCCAGGGACCCAGTCCTGGTCAGGCTCCATCCAGCATGCCCCTCTCCTGGGCCTGTTGGAAACAAGGCTTCCGTGGTGATGTGGCATCCCCCCGTTGCTGTACCCAGGGGTCCCGGGGTGACCCATCTGTCTGTTACATGGGCTCAGCTCCCCATAGCCAGCGCTGGGGTCAAGGGGGGGTGCCATGCGTCCCAGGGCTCAGCAGCTCCCAGGCTCCGCCCCCAGGGGGCAGGCGTTCAGATAAGTCCTGTCCCTGTGGGCAGGTGGGGGTGGGTACAGGCAGTGGAACCTGACAGCAGGACTTGGCAGTGTGGTCCCTGATCCCTGTGGTTGGGTTACCAGAGAGATGAGGGTTGGTGGCCTGGGGACAGGGGCCAGGGCTCCCAGGAGGGGGTGGGGCCGTGTGGGCGCCAGCCCACTGCCCCTCCCCATCCTGGCTCCAGGGGTCATGGGAGCTGCTGTGGGATGCTGGGAGCAGTCCCGTGCTGAGGGCTGGGGGAGGGATCTGTGAGGATGACTGTCGGGGGAGAGAGCAGCCAGAGGGGTTTAAAGGCAGCGGGCGCCCCACTTGCTCTCCCCCGCCAGGGCAGGAAGTGCGCTGGGTCTCCGTCTCGCTGACTTCCTGTCTCCTTGAAGCAGGAAAGCCCCTGCTGGGACCAGAGAGGGTGGTGATGCTGGGAGCGCTGCACAGCCAGGTCCCAGGCGGCCTGCGCCAGCCCACCCCCACTACAGGTGCTGCACTTGCAGGCTGGGCATCCCCAGCATCACCACGTGGGCAGCCCCGGGGAGGAAGAGTTCTGTGTGCCTGGCTCCGATGCCCTGGGGCACAACCTCTGACTTCCCTGAACCTTCCTACCTAAACCTGGGGTTACCCCATGCGCCAGGAAGCCCCCGCCTGGCACCAGCATGTGTGGACACAAGGGTGGCACACAGACACTCCACACCTGTCCCCAGCCCCCGCTGCCCCATGCCTTCCTTTCCCTGTGTGTTCCTTGCATGGCATCTCACAGAGCAGTCAGCACCACCAAGCTGCCCTCCGGGGGCACCTGCTCCTGCCGTTTGTTTCTGAGCCTGAGTGTCTGGGGGCTGGGCAGGGGTGAGTGGGACAGGGGGGCTGGGAGGAGCTGGGCAGGCCTGGGCGGGGCTGGGAGGAGCTGGGCAGGGGGCTGGGCAGGGCTGGGCAGAGCGGGGCTGGGCAGGTGCTCTTGTCTGTCCTCTGGTCTTTTCTGTACCCTTCTGCATGCCTGATATAACCCGGCCCTCTGCTGGGTGGGAGAACTCAGCCGCTTCCTGCATGTGGAAGTCGGGGCAGTGGGGAACACTTAACTGCTGGGGCACAGGGGGAGAGGGGGCAAGCTGACGAGGGGCAGGGGGTACAGGTCATGCTCAGACACAGGGTGGACTCCTGGTGTTTGTGTGGGCTGTCCTGCCCTGTTCCCATACTGGCCACCCCTGTCGGCCGTCTTGGACTCCGGGACAGAGGGTGGTGGGCCAGGCCCACCCTGCTGGACCTCAGGGTGTGCTCTGAGAGCTGGCTGCCCCGCTCGGTTCTGCAGTTACTTCTGGATGTGCTGGCTGGGCCCCCAGTGTGACAGGTACCAGATTGGGGCCGTGGCTGGACCCTGTGACCCCTCCCCTCCAGCAGCCCACCGCCCAGTGAGGTTGGGGCGCAACCTACAACCGTGTGTAGGGGCCCTACTCTGGGTCCCAGTGTAGCAATAGCAGCCGCACCTCCCAGCGGTCTGCTGTGCTGGAAGGACCCCACTCCCCACAAAGTGCCGTGCAGCTGGAATCCCGTAGGACAAGGGTCCTGCTCTGGGGATTGCGTCACACTGAACGGAGGAACCGTCCAGGCTTGGCTTCTGTTTTGTGGCTTTTGCCCGGCAGGGTTACCCCCCGCCTCCCTGACCCCTACCCCAGGCAGCGCCCCTAGCAGCTGCCTGGGTCTCACGAGGCCTCCCCAGCGGGGGCAGGTGGGGGCCCAGCAGGGCTGGGAGCGAGGCCCCTGCGGTACCCCCTAAGACCGGAAGGCTAGCCAGCGTCTCGGCTCCTTCCTGGGCTGACCCACATGTCTGTCCAGGCCCTGGACTCCCTCCTGCAGCCAGACAGTACTTCACATCCCCCCACCCCACACGGGTGTCCTTGGGGGGTTTTACAAACGTGCAGCCGGTGTACCCCTGCCTGTGCAGTGGGGGCCTGGATGGCGGGGCCAACCATGCAGGAGATGGGCCAAATTCCAACCGGCCGGCCAGCTGAGGGGATGGGATGTACAGCCCTGCACCAGAGGCGGTGGTGGGACGCGAGGGCCAGGAGCCAAGTGCTGCAGACAGGACCTGGGCCAGGACCCCGGCCCCGACCTAATGACCCCAGCCACAGGGAAACGAGTGGGTCAGCTGTGTCCAGGGGGGTCAGCTGTGTCCAGCAGAGTGTAATTGCTCCCACAGACACTTGGCTATGCCCCAGCATCCCTGGAGCACAAGCGGCCGTGAGAGGCGTCACTGTCCGCTCCATAGCCAGCACACCAGCTGTCCATGCTGCTCCCTGAATACTTGCCTTGAGGCCAGCAAGGCTTGGCGGTGGGGCAGTGGGGGCCCTCCCAGCCTGTCCCCTGGAGCTCGGCTGTGAGCCAGGCGCAGTGTTCTGGGTGCCCTGGCCCAGAGCAGGCCCTTTCTGGCAAAGTGATGGGCAGCGGGCTAGCAACAAGGTGATAACATGATTTTCTTGTGAGAATTAACTTCAGGTCGGTAGGAAAGCCGTTCCTGCTCCTGACAGTGAGTGGTCCTTGCTGTGGTAGCCTGGGCGGGCTCCGGCCACACAGGGCCATGGGGACAGAGCACCCTGGCCGAAAGTGCACCTGCGCCATGGGTGGCAGCCCAGGCCTAGAAGCTTGCTCTGTGTCAATGCGCTGAGACCAGGGGCTGGTTCCGTGACAGCCGGGCCAGACAAGCAGGCTGTCGGTGCTGGGGCCAGGGCCGTGAGGTCAGCCAGGCTGGGCAGCAGCAAGGCTCGAGGCTTGGGGCTCTGGCATCCCCCCGTGCCTCTGGGACATCCAGGTCCATTGTCCTCAGGTCCTCTCTGCACACCACTGCCACAGTCTGTGCAAGCACACGGCTCTCACTAGCTGCCTGAGCTCCTGGGGACCAGGGACAGGGTGGCTGGAAAGAGGAGCTCCCCGCCACCTCCTGGGGCACCTGTGTGGTCTGGGCCTGACCCGGCCTGCGTGCAGCCTGGGAGGCAGGTGCTGGGCACAGGCCAGCTCCTTGGAGCCTGTCTGAGCCACAGAGAGATGCAGGTGTGGCTGGAGCATCTCACACTTATTTCCTGTTCATCCTGTTACTACCCCAGATCTCCAACCACCATCAACACTGACAACAGCCCATCACCACCCCTAAGGTCACCGTCATTACCATGCCCTTCATCACCACCATCCTCACCATGGCTACCGCCATCATCACACCACTGCTCTGGTACCATCGTCACCAGCCTCAGCCGCCCTCATTCCCGACCCCAGCAGTGGGGAGAGAGTGGGCACTGCTGTGTGCAGAAGCAGGGAGCTTGTGAAAATGGGACCACTCCACTTCTGCCCACTTTTTCCTCTACCTGGTGGGCCAGGCCCCTGGCTGTGCCAGAAGCTGCACCTGCTCTCACTGTCCTCGAACCCCTGGAATTCGCACATCCTCAAGCGGGGTGCACTCCTGGTACCCCAGGGATCCTGCTTCTTCAGGGGTGGCTGCATGCATTGGGTGCTGCTGGAAACTTGTCACACTGCCATGCCCTGACATGGTCTGGACGAACTGGGCCTGAAGTGTGCGGTGCAGCATACCTGTGGCTGCCCCATGTAGTGTGTACCCAGATGAGGACATTGCGCTGGCACCGTGCGCCCAAAGCACCCCCCAGGGCCCCCTCGACGTGTGCTGGAGCTGGCTCGCAGCAGCTCGCAGCAGCTGAGAGCTAAATTTGTAGGAAAACTCATGAGCCGGTTGTTAAATCGTGGGTGGCTTGGAAACGGCCGTGGCGGGACTGTTCACACCATGGAAACCGGCAGCTCCTTCCAAGCGACCCCTGGCTGCCCAGGAGCTCCCACTCTTGGTGCTGGAGGGTAACTTGGCCTCCCTGAGCCCCAGCTGCCAGCCACCCCCTGGCTGAGCAGATGCCCCTCCCACATCATGTAGGGTCCTGTGGCTTCCCAGGAACCCTGTGGTCACCCTGGCTTTGTGGGGGTGCAGGTGGGACATTGAGGCTTGAACTTAATTCTGCTGGATTTACCAGCCCCAAACTGATGCTTGTACCTGGGGGTGTCCTACACCCCATTGTCCCATATCTGCTGTGGGTGCTGGGACCCAGTGGGAGGTGGCAAATGGGTGTTAGTGGTGGTAGGTGGCCTGGTGTTGCCCTGGTTTACTACTTGTGTCTGGGCAAGTGACATCATAGCTGACCTGAGCACCCACTGTGTGCACAGCTCCAGGCTGGGGTCAGCGGGCACTCTCTGGGTTCTGATAGATAAGCCATGGACGTGCCCAGGGCTCAGAGCAGCTTCCTGTGCTTGCCGCCCTTCCTGAGGTCTGCCAACCTCAAGGTCTGAGCGAGGCAGGTGACACACAGGTGGCAGCAGCCCGTCGGATGTTCGACACCCAGAGCTGTCCCAGGGAAGCAGGTCCTTGGGCCGACTCAGTATGAGTGACGTCCACCCAAGGACGGGGCGGTGGTTGGGCCCAGCCCTTCCCGAGGCTCTCTCTGCTGCCACTGTCCTCTGCAGTCCTGGAGGAAGTGACCGCAAGCTGAGGCTGCTGTGACTCCATCCCTGTGTGGAGCCAGCCTGTGGCTTCCCAAGCCCTTGGCCCCTGCAGGGCCGGGCGGCTGCGGCGGGGGGCCCAGGCTCGGTGGTTGTTTACAGAGCTATACTTGGCTGCTGATGGCAGGGTGCCTGGCTCCAGGGGGCCGCTCCCACTCTCAGGAGCCTCCCCTCCTGCCCCAGTGCCAAGCACCCCACTTCCTGCTGGGAGGCAGCGTTGGGCCAGAGTGCTGTTCCAGCTCTGCCACCGCCCTGTCCCTCCCCGCCTGACCATCCCCCCTGCCCAAGCGACCCTGCCTGGCCAAGTGTGGTTTGACTCAAAATTGCCACTTGGATCCCCAAGCCAATGTGTGTCTTTGGGAGCCAATCACGGGCAGAGCTCTCAGCTTTGCCAGAGGCCAGCCCGAGACGGCTTGCTGGGATCTGTGGCTTGAGGTCTGAGCTGTGACCAGCTGTGAGTGAGGCTCTCAGCTGGTTCACTCCCCAATGCCCCCAGTACCCAGGGGGAAGCAGATCTGAAGCCAGGAGCTTCTCCCGGGCCTCCCAAGGTTTTCCCAGGCCACAGGCAGGGAGCTGAATCAGTGGTGGGACAGGAAGCGACACCCATGAAGGATGCCAGCACTGCCGGTGGATTAGCTTGCTGTGCCAGCCCCTGGCGAGTTGATGGGGAAAAGCCGGGGCGAGAGTCAGAGATGTCAGGCGCTCACACTGCCACGAGACGCATTTCCAGAACCTTCTCCACCGGGTGCTGCCCATGGAGTAGTTCCCCCTTGTCTGCTCCCTGCTCGTGGTCCACCTCCCTGGCACCTGAACCCAGCTCCTGGCGCCTCGTGGAAGTGATATCTGCCTGATCTGTCCAGGGTCCACCCAGGGCAGTCCAAATTTCCTTCCTCGTACACTGTCGGCTTCGTTGTCGTCATTTTTAAGACATTTATTTGAAATAGAGAGCGCCCCTCTGCTGGTTCACACCCCGTATGTCCACCTAAGGTTAGGGCCAGGTGCTCCACGTGGGTGTCCGAGCCATCGCCTGCCTTCTCCCAGGTTGCTGACAGGAAACTGGCTCGGAAGCATCCGGGGCCCCTGGTATGGGGGTGCGTGTCCCAGTGGTGGCTTAACCTGTGGTGCCACGCACTGTTCCCACCGGCTCTGCCTGCTCCTGGGGTGCCTGACTGGGGATCGTTTGTCCTGCACCCGCGTGGGCCAGGCCGTGCCCAGGGGCGCCCTGGAGACCCGTGGGTGCTGGATGGCTCATCACACCTCCCACATGGCATGGCTGCCCAGGCGCGCCACTGTCAGGGGGCCACTCGTGGGGAAGATCTTCACGGTTTCAAAAAGACAGCGGCTCTGCGCCTCAGGCTGCTCCTTGGGCTGCCTAAAATTAGAACCTGGTTGACAAGGTGATTTTTGTCAGGGGGCCTGCGGCAGGCACTGGGGACGGGCGGGTGTCAGCCGTCCATTTTCTGTGTCAATTCTGCTTCCTGAGAAGCGCTGAGGAAATGGCAACCCGAACCCAGCCCCTGGCAGCCGTGTGATGGATGGGTGGGTTTGCAGAGCGGGACACGGCCAGCTGTCCGCTAGGCGCGGAGTCCCCCTCCCCACACTGGGCCCCCATAGCAGGAGCTCCTGCTGCCTCGCTGTGGGGATGTGGAGGCAGGGGTGCCCGACCCGCACCCCGACTAAGCGTGTGAAGGAGTCTGCTCCCTCCCTGTGCCGGCTTGCCAGCCCTGTGCACAGGTGGGCTGTCACCGCATGTCTTTCCTGGTCAGGTTCGGGCAGCCAGGGCAGTAGTTGGGGCAGGGGTCCTGCAGCGGGGTCTGCTGGTCCAGCAAGGCCCTGGCTGCCCCTGGAAGGTGCACTGTGATTCCAGTTGGCTCGTGTAAGACCCGCCTCCTTGGCATGGAGGCCACGTACATCTGCAGACCCCAGCACCTGCCCGGGCAACCCTGAAGCACTGCTCAGCCTCAAGTGTAGCCAGGGCAATGGCCCTCAACCCCCCATGCTCCCCAGAAAACCACAGCTCAAGGGGGAAACATAGGTGAGACTCAGAAGTGGGTTCACCTGACCCCATTTCACAAAGGAGGAGACTGAGGCCAAAGCAGGCCCAGGAGCTTTCCCACAGTCACTGCCGTGTCCCAGCTCTGAGGAACTCTGTCTGAGTTCCTGGCAGGCATCTTTAGGGGGTGAGGTGGGCCCTCTGGGGCAGAGGAGAGGCGGGGTCTCCTTGGAGCTGTAAGATGCAGGAGCTCTGGGGCGCCATGAGCATCCAGCATGGAGAGTGCTCCTGTTGCAGTCCCAGGACCCCCCCTGCCGTGGTCACCAGTGATGGACAGCAAGCCGCCCTCTCCCCGCCACCCCCAGAGCTTGTCACAGCGTCTCACCTGAGGTGACCCAGGCCAGCAGGGGCAGGAAGGATCGCCACAATGGTGGCCCGGCGCCCATCGGCTGACCCCAGCTGTGTGTCCTGCAGGTCCGGGCCATACGTCTGTCCTTCGTGGGGGAGCTGGGCTGGGAGCTGCACATACCCCGGGCCTCCTGCGTGCCAGTGTACCGGGCAGTGATGGCAGCGGGAGCCAAGCACGGCCTGGTCAACGCTGGGTACCGTGCCATCGACTCCCTGAGCGCTGAGAAAGGTGAGGCCTCCCGGAAGCTGTGGTGCCCACGGGTGTGAGTCCCTCCCCACTGCCCACCAGCTGCTGTGGCCCCTGTGCTGGGGGCAGGGACATGGGGTGGCCAGGGGCGGAGGTCTGGAGTGCCTTGGTTTTCCTGGAGCTCCAGTGACGTCAGGCCAGGAAAGCAGAGGCCACGTTGACACAAGCCCACCTTGGCAGCCCCCTCCCTGCCTTGGTGCTGAGCGGTCAGCCCATCAGAGCTTTCATCCTGGAGCAGCTCTGGGGTGCTGGGAGCAGACATCTGGGCTGGGCAGTACCCACGGTGTCTCCTGACTCTGATGGCAGCCTCCCACCCTGCAGGCTACCGGCACTGGCATGCAGACCTACGGCCAGACGACAGCCCCCTGGAAGCCGGCCTGGCCTTCACCTGCAAGCTGCGGTCGGCTGTGCCCTTCCTGGGATGCGAGGCCCTGCAGGCACAGCGGGCCAATGGCCTACGTCGCCGTCTGGTGTGCTTCACGCTGGAGGAGTGAGTGGCCACTGCCCGCCGCGGCCCCAGGCTCAGCCTGCCCCCACAGGCCAGCACCCTCTCCAGGGAGACTGAGCCAGGGGTAGAGGCCAGCACCCTCTCCTGGGAGACTGAGCCAGGGGTGGGCAGAGCTGTCAGGCAGCCCCAGGCTAGGGGGGTGTCTACTCCCTGCCCCCATGGCCCTGTGATGAGTGAGAGCCCCGGCCGGGGTCACCACTCCAGTCTACCGACTGTCACCCAAGAAGCTGAAGGCCAAGGGGATGTGGCAGGCCAACGCTGCCCGGCAGGGACAGTCTCATTGCGGCCCTGTGTCCCAGCTGGCCCTGTTGTGCCCTCATTGCAGGAAGGTGCCCCTGTTTGGCCTGGAGGCCATCTGGAGAAGTGGCCAGGTGGTGGGCCACGTCCGCCGGGCCGACTTCGGCTTCGCCCTTGACAAGAGCATCGCCTATGGCTACGTCCGCGAGCCCAGCGGCGGCCCCGTGAGTCCTGTGCGCCAGCCCTGCCCTGGGAACCATGGCTCCTCCCCGCCCCACGAGGCACCTGCCCAGGGACCTGGCCTGTCCCCAGCCCCCTTACCCAGAGTCCCCAGCCCAGCGAGCAGCTCAGTGTCCACCAACAGGCCCAGGCTATAGGAGGCTGGAGTAGACCAGAGCAGGCAAGCTCCCAGGTGCTGCCCCTGGGCAGCTTGGCGGCTGGGCAAAGGCCCTCCTGCCACACTAAGGAATCCGAGGGAGGTGGCTGGCCCCCAGCCCCAGCCCCTCACACGGAACCCCTGGCTTAGCTCCAGAACCTTCCAGCCTGAGCCCCAGCAGACTTGGGGGACCCGGGCTGCAGTTCACAGACTCAGGAGTGGTGGGGAGGTGCTGCAGTGGGCCAGCCGAGGGACAGAGGGACAGGCAGCTGCGGCCCAGGCCCTGGGGAGGTGGCAGGTGGTGGCCGGAGCCCCGCAGGGGGCTGGGCGGCACGGAGGTCTGGCCCTTCACCTTCTGCCTGCTCTGTCATCTGTCACCTTCACCAGGGGCTTGTCTCTCCGAACTTGGGTTTCCTGGTTTACAGAATGCAGACAGACCCCTCCCCACAGTGACCTTCCAGGGACATTTCTCCTGCAGTGAAGCCCCTGCCTGGCCAGCAGAGAGCTCCTGAGATTGCAGGGCGGGGACTGTGGCTCCATGGAGACCAGGACTGGCCCGGGTGACCCTGAGTGACCCAAGCTCTGAGTCTGAGCCACAGCCCACAGCTGAGTCGCTGCCCCTGCTGGGCTGGGGGTGGGCTGGAGGCTATAACACCTGCCTCTCCTTCCCCCGTCCCCCAGCTCAGGCCGGCCTCAAGCAGTCAGGCACGGGATTGGGGAGTGCCCTGTGGCACAGGCAGCCCAAGCAGGGAAGGCCACTGTGGGAGAAACCCAGGCTCCTTTGCTCCAGCCCTGGGCTTGCCCCGAGCCAGGGGTGCAGTCCACGCCTACGTTCCCGGGGATTGAGGCTGGCTGGGGATGTAGGTGTGTGGCCCCAAGGGAGCGGCCGCAATGGCTGCCCAGACTTGGGCCTGTTACTGAGTCTGTGGGCATGCAGGCCATGGGGTCGGCTTCCACGATGCATGAGGGAGCTTGTGCTGCAGGGTCGGCTTGTCCACAGAGGGGAGACAGGGCTGGGACACCCCAGGAAGGCAGGCGCGCAGGCCCAGCTCCCAGCCAGTGACAAGCACCTGCCATCGGCCCTGTTCTAGGTCTCGCTGGACTTCGTGAAGAGCGGGGAATATGCTCTGGAGAGGATGGGGGTCTCCTACACCGCCCAGGCCCACCTGAAGTCGCCCTTCGACCCTGACAACAAGCGGGTGAAAGGGGTCTACTGAGGCCCCCTGTGTCCCCAAGCCCCCTGTGCCCCTGTGCCCCCATGCCCCCTGTGCCCCCAGCTCCTGGACACATCTGGGCTCTCAGTGCCTGTGCTGGGGCGGCCCCGCGAGAACTGGCACCTGGGTGTACCAGATGCCTTGGGGTGCACGTGGGGCCCCTGCCTGGCTGGCCTTTACCACCCCGGGCTCCCCAGCATACACCCATGCCCATGCTGGCTCTGCCCACAGCCTCTTCCTGACAGGGCCCAATAAAATGTGTGGGGCGAGAGCGGCTGGCAGGCTTTCATGATTTTCAGCATGGCTATGTGGCCCTGGGCTGCCCTGGGCACTGGGTAGAGGGGGTTGAGGGAGAGGTGGGATGGTGGGGGAGGCCCAGGATGGGGAGGAAGGCTGAGATGGGGATAAGTTGGCCCCAGATGCCCCTGGCTCACCTTGGGGGTGGGATTGGCTGGTGCCCGAGGTCAGGGCTGCCCTGCCAGGTGGCTCCTTTCTCAGCTCCACGTGGTTTTATGCTCCTGGATCTCCAGCCTGAAACAGCCGGGAGCCCTCCCCGGTTCCTGCCTGTTCCCCCCGAGCTTCCCACCTCAGACCTCACTGCTGGAAGCTGCCTGGCAGTGCCCCCCACTCTGTCTGCTGTGGACCAGGCCACGCTCCTGCCTGTGCACCCCAGTCCCACCACCCTAGCTGTCCTTCAGGACCCCATTGGGGCCCTGCCTGCCCCTCCCCACCTCCAGAGGGGTACACATCACTGTCCCCCATCCCCAGGCCTCTCCCCCTCTCTCTGCAGTACTCCCTGGCTCGGGTCAGGAGTCCATGACCTTGAGGGGCTGGCGGATCGAGCCTTCCCCGCCAAAGCTCAGCCCGTTCTTTGGGGTGTAGACAGTTGGGGTGGGGTGTAGACTGATGCACCACAGCCTGGGAAGGACATGTCCAGCTTACACGGGGCCTTGAGCAGCCACTCTGGCCCCCTGAGTCTAGGCTGGGGCCTCCGGCTGGAGAACGTTCCCACAGCTCAGGCCAGAGGCGCACCTGTGGCCTTGCTGCTCGCCGGCCAGCCTGGCTCCCAGATGGCCGGCCCGCCTCCCCTGGCCCCAGCTGTAGTTTGGCCTCATGGCTTGGCGGGGACAGCATTCATCTCGTGCTGGTCCTTGGGGGAGAATGAGGCAGTCCATGTCCAGGTCTCCACCCCACACGTTCCTCACAGCTGCGGCTGGGCAGCCCCCTCCCTCCGGAAGGGCATCCCTGGGTCATGGGTGCGAGAACGGCTCTCCCGCATCTCCGTGTGAGCCACCTGCTCCACTCAGAACAGTCCCAGCCGGCCAGGCAGCCCCTTCCCTGTCGTCTGGGACCCTGAACACATCCTCCTTAGCGTTCCCCTAGGAACTCGAACTTGGGGCTCTGAGGATGAGGAGAGGGACTTGGGGGTCACGTCCTGCCCTGTGGCGGAGCCCTCACTGCTGGCCGGGAACCTGGAAAGTGCTGTGCCAGGGATGGCAGAGGTGCAGCCCGCAGGGCCCGGCATGCATGACTCCTGGTTGCAGCTGGGCATGCCAAGGGGGCCCTTCTTGCCGGCCCTCCTGCTTGCATGGGCTATTGGAGGCAGCGGCATCTGGGGTCCCGGTGGCTCAGGGCAAGGCCAGCGCACAATGCTGCCCACCTTCCTGTGGGCAGTGGAAGGATGCCCTGCCAGGACAAGGTGCCCTCTCCCTGTGACTGACCGTGACAGGGTGCTGGAGGCGGCTCTGGCTGTCAGAGCACTCAGCAGAAGGGCGGCTGGAGCAGTAGTCAGCAGTGAGCTTGCTGTGCACTGGAGCTCCCCATGGCGGGACCCCCTAAGCATCCGCAGTCCCTCACCCCTACCGCTTTTCCCTGTCGCTCCCAATCCCATGAGGACCCATGCAGACGGCGGTGGCCTGGGGGCCTTGGTACCCGACCTGAGGGCTTCCCTGTCAGCAGGAGCGGGTAGATGGGGCGGCCCCAGGGGACACGGGTGGAAGCCAACAGAGCAGGATGCAGTGTGCTCCTGTCAGGGAGAGCAGCTGGCGAGCAGGGGAGGTCCTGGGCTGGGAGAGGCCTCCACCCTGGTCCTCCCGGGCCTGGGAGTGCAGTAAGCCTCGGAGCTACCCTCAAGGAACCCTTGCCCCCCGCCCCAGCCCGTGCCGCCTGGGACATCGGGATGCCTGCCCACACCTGTCACCCAGACGATGAAGATGATGGAAGGCTCCAGCGGCCCTCCAGGCGCTGGCCTGCGACTGCGCTGTGACTTATGGGCCTGGAGGAGCCGTGATTTACACAGTGCGGCACGAAGTGCCTGGGCCCAGGCCAGCTCAAGAGTGAAGGGCCCAAGGTGAGGTGGGGTGTTCATCACGCCCTGGCCGCCAGACATTTGCTGACCTGGCTGAACGTGGCTGGGCTGGTTTCTCCTCCTAGGAGCCAGCTGGCGGCTGGGCAAGTTGGAAGACAGAGCAGCGGGGGTAGGGCAGACTCACGCTGGAAGGAAATGGGGTGACATGCTGGAGTTCTCGTGTGTGTGTGTGTGTGTGTGTGTGTGTGTGTGTGTATGTGTGTGTGGTGGGGTGACCACACTGTGTCCTCAGGCCTCGAGAACCTGTTTGTGCCTCCTCGACTGGCACAGCATCAACCCAAGCTACAGATGAGAAAGCTGAGGGCCAGCGGGCGCCCTGGGCATGACGCAGAGCAAGCACACGCAGAGCACGGGCCTGACCCCATGACCCATCTATTTGCGCTGTGTCCCTGCCTGGAAGGCCAGCCCAGCCACGCCAACGCGTCCCATTGCCCGCCCTCTGCTCTCGCTGATCTTCCGATGGTGCTATGAGGGCTTCCGTGGCCAAACGCCTGTCCGGCCTTCGCTGTCCTGGGATCAACACCAAGGCTGCCCGGCGGGAGGCTGGCACTGCCATCCAGGCCCCTTGCACTGAGCCAGCAAGCTGGGGGATGGGGTGGACGAGGCTTGCTCTGCCCAGCCAGGGGCACTCAACCAAGTCCTCTCGACCATGCTGGGGTCTCTGTGGCCAGGGGTGGGGTATGTGTGGTGGGGTGACCACTCCGTGTCCTGCTGAGGGACGGAGGCCTGGGGACAGGTGCGGGGGATGTCTCGGCACAGCTGGGGTGCTCAGAGCAGTGAGAGCACCCCCCCTCCACTCAGCCTTTGCCTCCTCCGATGCTGACCACGGTGGGGCCAGCGGGGCCGTGTCCTGCGCGGGCTGGGCAGTGTGGCGTGGGCTCCGGCAGCCTGGATGTGATCTCCGGCAGGGGCTGCTGATCCCATTCTCCCTGTGAGGAATGTGGGCTGCTGTAGTGGGGTGCAGCTAGGGGCCACCTCCCTCACCCCTGACTCACCCGCTGTTCCCACCACCACGTGGCTCCTTGGGGGTTCCCACCCTGGTCAGCACCCCTCGGGGCTCTGGCCACCTGGAGCCTCATGGGGTCACCTCCCTGGGAGCCCCGAGGGCTCCTTGCCCTCTCCCTGATGGGCAGGGAGGGGTGGGTAGCGGCAGCTCCCAGGCCGGCATACCTGGAAGCGAACGGCCGTGGACTTGTTACAGTGCATGGAGATGGGCGCAAAGCCATAGAGGGCCTTGAGCACATCGCGGTCAAAGGAGTTCCAGGGCACGGAGGCGAACTGCTGTGGGACGGAGGCCTGGGGACAGGTGCACACATCCTCGCTGTTGAACCTGGGGGACAGGAGCCACACATCTGTGTCCAGCAGGCACTGGGCTGGGGGCGTTCCCACAGACACGTGGCATCCCCAGAGTGGTCCTTGCCCCCGGGGCATCCTCAGGGGTGAGTCTCCACACCAGCAGTGGGCTCATCTCCCTGGTGACTTTGGAAGGAATAGTCCCAGCGGGGCTGTGAGTCGGGGACCGACTAGCGCTGCCTGCCGTGGCGGGGGCGTGGCCCAGCGGGCTGCACACCTGTTCACCAGGTGAAAGTACTTCTGCAGGGAGCCAGCGTCCACGGCGCTCTTGCAGAGCTCCAGCTGCGTCTGCGGGTAGTAGTGGACGTAGTTGACGCACATCTCCTCCAGGATCCCGAAGCCGCCCTGTGAGCCGGAGGACCCTGTCAGCCCTGGCCATGGGTCCGGCGCCCACGCCAGGCTCGCCTCACCCCAAGCACCCCAGCTGGTGTGGTGGCACAGCGGGGAGAGTCATTGCCAACACCACCAGCATCTCCTATGGGCACCGGCTCCTGTCCCGCCTGCTCCACTTCCTGTCCAGCTCCTGGGAAAGCAGTGGAGGACGGCCGAGTGCTCAGGCCCTGCACCCACCTGGGAGCCCTGGACAAGCTCCTGCCTCAGCCTAGCCCAGCCCCAGTCCTGGCGATTGAAGCCATCTGAAGAGTGAGCTGGTGGACAGAAAATTCTCTCTGCAACTTTGCCTTTCAAATACATCTTAAGTGAACAAATCGTAAATAAGCCCAAGGCATCACTCCTGGAGCGAGGCAGACGCCGCTGACCCGCAGTAACTACTCCCCTCAAGCACCTTCAGGGGTCATTTCCACAGTGATGACCCTGCGGAGGAAGGCAAAGCAGGGCACATGAAGGGAAACTGAGGCCCCAGGGAGGCCAGGGGACAGGGCCTGTGGCGGCCGCAATGTTAGAAGCAGAGCCAGAATAGAGGCTGCCTCCCACGGGATGACCTTGAGCTGTCCTCTTGGAACCCAGGAGCTGTGGGGGCCACGCCGGTGGGAACAGGGCCTCACACCCTGGGCTCCAGGGACACCTGGCGAGTGTGGGCCCCCTCCTGTCCCCAGTGGCCACAGCCGCAGAGTGCGGGCTGTGCTGGGGTCCTGCCTGGGTCCCCTAACCCAGCTCAGGCTGGCCAGCAGGGACAGCAGCCCTGGGCCTGCCGCCGAGTGGCCTAAGTGCCACCTCCTTGGCCCCAGCAGAATGCGATCTGAGTGGGTTGTGTGGACAGCAGCTCCCAGAATTAGTGCCCTTACCCTGTTAGCTGTCCCCTCCCTGGGCCCGACCTAGGGTGGGTGAGAGCCAGGCAAGCTCTCCTGTGTCTCAGACCCTGAGGCCTGGGGGGAGGGGAGGCGTGTCCAGGGCTGGGCACGGTTCTCTTCTGGGAGTGATGTTGGCTGTGTGTATCTGAGAACGTTCTAGAAGCCAGTGAGCTCTGACCTAAGGCATGAGTGGTCCCTCAGGATCCAGGCCGGGGACTGGCATGGTGGTCTGGCTCCCACCCAGCCCTGGCAGGTGGCGGCTCAGCTCCCTCGGGAGCCCCATGCACTCCCGGGCTCCTGGCTGCAGCCTGCCCCAGCTCTGGTGCTGTGGATGGAAACGGGCTGTGTGTGTCTCCCTGTCCGTGTGTCTGTAGGACTTTGAATCAAATTCGTCTGGGATTTAGATAACGGAGAGCAACACTGGCGCAGCAAGGCGGTCACTCACCACGGTGGCCCGCTCCCGGTCTTCCGTGTTGTAGGTACAGGAGGTCAGAAGCACGTCTCCCTGCGGAGGAGGCGTCCAGGCTCTCAGCACGGGTCCCAGTCGGTGTGGAGGCCTGCCCAGGAGCCCGGGCTGGCCCTGCAGCCCCACGCTCCTGCAAGCACTGGCTCTGTGGCCTGTGGGCTCCAGTCACCCCTCCCACCTCTCCTGGCGGGCCTGCCGCCCCTCGTGCCCCACCCCTGCCCCCACCACCGTGGTTCTGCCGGGCACTCACTGGGTACACGGTCACCACCTTCTTGAGCATGCGGATCTCCTGGTAGTGGGCGGGCGCAGGGGAGTGGGGGGAGAGACTTTTGTCACCTGCAGATCCCAGTGCCCCGCCCCACCCCATGCTCAGCCCTTGCCTCCCTCTCTGCCCCGCTCGGCCGGTCCCCCCCTGGCTGCCTCATTGACCCCACGGTCAGCAGGCCGTACTTCAGGGTTGTAGCAGGGCAGGCCGATGGGCAGGGTCGCTCTGAGGGCAGAGACCCGGAAGGAAGCCGAGGTCGCTACCTGGAAGTGGGGGCTGTAGTGGTTGTCCCGGTTTACGATCTGCCTCTCGCGGCCGCCCCGGGCCAGCACGGTGACCACCCTCCTCCCAGTGAGGTGTGTGTGCAGCTGCGAGGCGAAGATGTGGATGCCAGCGGGCGGCAGCGCCTGCAGATACAGGAGAGGCGGGGATGTGGCATCGGGGTCCGGCCTGGGGGGGAGGGACAGCGCCCCAAACGCTCCCCTGTGGCCTTGGCATTTTCCAGAACATTCTCCCAGACCAGTGACTGGTACCAGAGCTCAGATCCCGTGGCCCCAGGCTGGTGGGCAGCCCACAGGGAGAAGGAAGGGACCGTGGTGGCGGGGCCTGGAGGAGCGGTGCCGATGCTGGTGCCGATGCGGCCTGGCCCGTCCCCTCCCTGAGCTCACCAGCTGGGTGCACTTGTCCGTACAGTAGCCGGTCAGCATGAAATCTGTCTCCCCGGGCGGAATGGCCATCACGGGCGTGTACACGAGGCCCAGCTCCATGATGCCAGCATCGAAGCGCCTCAGCGTGGCCGTGTAGTACAGGCGGATGCCCGAGGAGTCACGGCGGCCTGCCGGGAGTGGGAGCAGCCAGTGGGGTGCTGCCCTTCCTGCCTGAGCCCCAGCTTTGCCGCCCTCCCCGTGTACCCAGGCAGGCCCTAGCCGGATGCCAGGGGCAGGCGCAGGGTCACACGTGTCCGGATGAGCCCAGGATGAAGGTGTGTTTGTGCATGGGTGTTTGCAGGAGCCGTTCCTGCTCTGACCGCTGTGCCGTGGGATGGAGGCCGACCCAGGCGTCCGTCCACGGACCACAGCCCTGAGACACCAGGGGCGGGGCTGGCACGGGATGGGGAGCCCCGAGGTTCAACCCCTCCAGGTTGCACGTGGTGGACCGTGCGCTGTGCACCCTCAGGTGATTAGCCGTGCCCCTCAGGACCTGGGCCCACAGTCACGAGGTGTCTGGGCAGGCACTGAGCGGAGAGAACCAGAGAGGGCATTCTGGCTTGAACTGCAACCCTATCACGGTGCCCAATTTTCAGAAGCGGAAGCTGAAGACAGACTGGATAGAAAGCTCTGTCCGAGGCAGGGAGCCTGGACGGTGTGCCATGCCGGGGACGTGGGGTGCAGGGGTGCTGCTGGTGGGGTGGGGCGGGCGCGGCTGGCTGTCTCCCCACGTGTCTGCCCTCAGCCGAGGCCGGGCCTGCCTCCTCTCCGTGGAGGGCCTGTGTCTCTGGGCCGATTGCATCAGAGGCTTAGAACAAGAAGGCAGACGTGATTGGCTCGGCTTCGGAGAGGGGGCTAAATAATGAAATAATTGTGGCAGGGGGATATTTATAGAAGGAGCGGCAGATCCCCAGGCTTGCCAAGTGACAGGCGCGCCCTCGTGGTGGGCAAAGCAGCCATAAATACCTCCAGATAGCCCAGCGCGCCCGGCTCTTAAGGAGATTTCGAAAATCCATTGGCTTCCAGGTTTCAATGAGCCGTAAATCCTCCCCAGCCTGCGGCCGGCTGACTCACATCTCTGCTCACTGCTGATAACCCCAGGGCCACCGCCCGCCTGAGCCAGCCCAGCCGCGCACTTGCCACATTGTTTTCGGTCAGCAGTTGGGAGCCTGCTAGACTCCACACACAGACTGCACTCTGGGGCGGGCACAGTGGTGGCACAGGGGTGTCCTGCTGACCCCAGCCCCTGTCTCCTGCCCCTGCACTGAGGGCTGGCCCACCTGGTGCCCTCCACAAATGGTGGTGGAATGGAACCCCTTGCCTGCACCTGTCAGCAGTGCATCCCGAGGGAGAGGGGAGGGAGAGAAGAGGGGGAAGGCGGGGTGGTGGAAGGCGCTGTGGGGGGCGCTGAGGTGTGGGGAGGGTGGAGGGTCGCTGAGCTTTGGCGAGCTGCACTTAGACCTCCCAGGTTCAAGTCCATCACCCTCGGGAGCGCCCTGCATCCTTGGCCTGTCTCCAATCGCAAACTGGATACAGAATACTTCTGCCTGTCCTTCCCCGGGGTGGACACATGGACAGGGAAGCTGCCACTGGGCACGGGGATGTGGTGATGAGCTTGTCACCTGGGTCCTTCCCAGGGAGCCTGCTGTGGCCCGGGACCTGGCTGGGGCTGGGGCGAGTGGTCCCGGGCATGCACCATCCAGGGGCCCCAGGGTTCGGGGGCCGGGGCAGGAGCCTCAACCTTCGATCCTCAGTGGGTTGTGGTAGTGAACCTCCAGGCGCAGGTATCGGGAGGAGCCGGGGCCCCCGAAGGCAAGACCAGCTTCCTCTGGGTAGTAAAACGCCTGTGGGGTACAGCAGAGGTGGGGTGTCAGGCAGATCCCTCGCACGGTGGGGGTTCCTGGATGTCCGTTCCCGCATGCAGGTGGGTGCACCCCGCCCTCCCCTGACTACGAGCCAGTCCCGGGGCCCAGCCTGGGTACAGGCCCGGAAAGCTCAGGGGGCTCCCGCACCTTGGCACCCAGGGCCCAGGCGGCCAGCACGTGGCGGCAGTAGTTGAGCCGTTCCGGCTTCATCTTGGAGTCACAGGGTCCACTGAAGTGAGGAAAGCTCTCGAACTCGGCGCTACACTGGAACACCTCCATGTGGTGCACCAGGGCCTCGTTGCCCTCGCTGATGATCGGCTCGTACTGTGAGGGGCGGCCAAGGAGTTAGGCTGCCCAGGCCTGCAGCCCTCTGGCCAGGCTCCAGGCCCTGAGTCCAGAGGACCCCCGTGGGCCCAGAAAGCGGCTGTCCCTGTGTGTAGGCTGGGTGACGAGGCAGCGTAGCCAGTGTGTAGCCCGCAGGTTAGGCTGCGGGACCCCGGGTACCGCAGGGTTGACCCTCCCATGCTCTGAGTTACGGCAAGGACGGGGCCCGACAGAGCTCAGTGGCCACTTCATCATCCCTCAGGGGCCCTGCCCTGTTCCCCAAGAACTCAGAGGCCCGGGTAGGGGGCAGTGAGCAGAGTGGGGGGCCCAGGATCAGGAGCTGCCCACCCCTCTCCGCCCTCCCGGCCCCCATACCATGACGATGTGGTGTCGGGCAAAGCCGCGAGGCAGCTCTGCCATGTAGCACCAATAGGTGGTCTCCTGGTCGGGGATGAGCACGTGAGGGGCTCGGACCTCCATCGTGTGCGTGTCGGGGGGCAGGGCCGGCTGGGGAAGCTCGGGCTTCAGCAGCTGGACCCTCTGCAGCCCTGTGCGCAGGCTGGAGGCATTGATGGCCTCTAGTGACCTCAACGGCTGCTCCAAGATGCCATAGACCAGGTGCACCGTGCCGTCCTATGGCCAGAGCGCAGCCCAGAGGTCACTCCCCTGCCTTGGAGGGGTACTGAGCCCCTGCCTGCCCACGCCCTCCTCTCTGCAGGTCCAGGGGCCTCCGAGGCTCCCCGACTCACCCCAGGATGTGCCAGCTGCAGAGGCCGTTAATCTTGGTAAAAACTCCTCCCTCCAGCCTCGAGTTAATAACGAGCACGCGCTGGCCTCCCTCCTCCCAGCCTCGAGCCCTCCAGGGCCAACCGGCTTCCAGCACCCAGCGCCCCCGGCTGTGACATCAAACCTGGGCTTGGACACTGAGAGGCCCACGATAGTTCAGGGGCTTGGGGCTGAAGGCCAAGCAGCTCCCCTACAACCCAACGCTCCCCCTTGGCACCACTGGCCTGGCCACAAGCCTGCAAGCCCCAGGGACGCCAAGGGGCCACAGCAGACACAGCAGGAGATAGGCTTGCTCTTGGGTGCCGGGGTCCCCCACGTGCTGGGGTCCCCCCACTGACCTCGATGAGGTAGTCCTTGGGGTCGCAGGTACTGAAGGGCCGTCTGAAGAGCAGGGCCAGGCCATCCGAGGTCCGGTGAGCCCACAGCAGCTGGTAGTCCTGTTGGGCGTCTAGGTGCACCTGCCCCTTTGCATCCGTCCAGGCGTCCTGTGAGGACGGGGCGGGATGGGGTGGGGCACAGCCCAGCAGGCTGCCTCCTGCGGCGGGGCCGTGGCCTGCATGGCAGCCACAGGCTCCCCTTCCCTGGCATGTGGCTCAGGGGCTGTGGCCACTGGGGAGGAGGGCCCGTGGCCACTTTCTGTGCTGCCCGTGGCTGCCTGGAGACAGCGGCCTTGAGTCCCGGTTTTGCGAGCACGTGGTGTGTGATGCTCAGGGCGACTGGGGTCCACTCGGAATCCTGGACCTGGAGTGGGAGCTCGGGGCGGTGCTGCCCTGATGGAGCACACAGAGCAGGGCCTCACCCACCCCCGGAGGGAGGGCCCCTAGGCGAGGCCCGGCGTTTAAGGTGGTCCTCACACGGGCACTTGAACAACTCTGGGAGTGCACACTGCCTTAAATCCCGCACCCCATGAGGCTCTTAGCTCACGCCTGTGTTTTCCCAGGGACCTGAGCCTCAGGCCCCCACCTCCCCAAAGCGCCAACACAGGCCGCGCTCTGCCCTCTGCTAGGGTGGCCACGGCCATGACCAGGCGCTGGGCCCAGGCGCTGGCCACTCCCCCCCCCGTCTTGCAGCTCCATGCTGCCCAGGGCTCCTGCACCTGTGGAGTGACACCCTATCCCTGACCCGAGACCAGCATCATGGCCACAGCCAAAGACAGAGCCAGGCTTTGTGTACCAAGGGAAGAAGGAGGCAGGAGCTTAACACCCCCCGGGGTCCCCTGCAGCGGGTGGAGGGGCCCTTCTCCGTTGCCCTCCCCACAGCACACCTGGGCTCAGCTCTGTGGGAGGGCGGCAGGTCAGTGTCATGCCTGCTGCTCAGCCCCCCATGGCAGTCTGTGGGTGTGGGGATCCCGTGGTCTGGAGTCTGAAGCAGGGATGCAGGTCTGCAGCTGGGTGGCGGGGTGTGGGGGAGCAAGTGTGTGCTGCGTGAGGTTTCCAGTTGCAGTCAGTCCCCTCGGGGTTGCTGGGCCCCCGACACTTCAGGGGGCAGCTACGACCAGGGCAGGTCCCTGCTTCCCTTTATTGCTCTGTGATGTTCAAGTTAACTCGAGAGAGAGCGAACTCAGAGCCTCTTTACAGGCTGTAGGAGCAGGGCGAGGCCTGGGGGCCCCAGGGAGCAAGGGACTGGACTCACGGCGAAGTAGGCGTGGTCTCCGTCGGTCCAGAGCACCACCACGTCGGCGTTCTGCAGCTCGCCACGGTCGGACATCCCGAACAGGACCCCGGCCTGCAGGCCCCGCACCAGCAGCTGAAAATGGACGGTCTCCTGGGCATAGCTCACGTTCCACGACAGCTCCAAGGTGCCCTGGGGGTCCAGGGGAACGCGGTAAGGGAGGGAGCTCTCATGGGGTGCCGAGCCCTGCAGAGCGGCCACCAGGATGACCAGGAAGACGGCCACCGCTGTGCCGTACATGGAGGCTGCCTCGCGCATGTTGGGGCTGGGGAAGCCAGCCCAGCGGCCTGGGTGACAAGGGGCCGGCATGGCTGTGGGGGAGTCGCCGGCTCTACCTGCCCATTTATGTCCTTGCCCTCCCAGGGGCTGGGGCCAGGCTCTATCGGTAATCACATTTGTCTGGTGGCGAATTCAATTGTCCCAGTGGACCGCCCAGCAGCCCGAGCCCCTGGGGCCACTCTGCCTTCCACCCGCCCTAATTGGCACTAATGACACATGGACCTCATCATGGGGAATGGAAGCTGACCGTGCCGTTCTCCCTGTCCGGAGGGCCGCTCCTGCTACAGCCGGGCCTCTCGGCCACCCGCTCACCAGACCCCGGCTGAGCACCTCGCTGCGGCCCCCAGCCTGAGAGCTTTCGAGGGGGCCGGGGTAGACCATCCCTACGGGCGGCAGCACGGACAGCTTTGAACTAAAAATACAAGATGATCCCCAAATAGTCACTGTTTAGACACTCTGTGCCACCTGCTGTCCCGCACCATCTCCTTGGCTTCCCCTCGGCTCCAGCTGGCGCCGGGGCTGCTCCGGGGCTGCTCCGGGGGGAGGGGGAGCAGATCAGCCTGGGGTCCCTTTCTGGAGAGAGGGCCCCGTGGCTTCGGTACAAAGGCAGGGATGCCAAGCACACTCCTGGGCTTCCGGGAGCAGCCCTGATGGAGAGGTGGGGTGTGGGCAGCTGGTTGACTGGAGCCCAACCCTGAGTGCCTAGGCAGAGCTGGCCAGGACTGAGCACTGCCCAGACTAGCACCCACCGCAGGGCCTTTGCCGAGGTCTACTGGCTGCTGTGCCCACCCCTCCCACCCCTCTCCTGCAGAAGCAACCTGCCTGGCTGGCTCCCCAGGCCTGCATCCCACCCTCCCTTCTTCCTCTGGGAATCCTTGCCTGAGTCCTCCATCACCCAGGTGGACAGCTGGGCTGCTAGTCGGAGCTCTGCTGCGTACCCAGCTCTGACTGAAGACAGTTCCAGAATCCCCAGGGAGGCTGTGGGACGCAGCCTCACTCCAGTGCTCCACTCACCCCTGCAGGTGCCAGTGGGGACAAGGTTTGGACTGCAAATGGCTAACCAGCAAACCGACAAGACGAGCCGTGCTGTGGCCTGAGGGGAGGGCTGGGTGGGTGAGCCCCAGGTCTGTGCTGCAAGAGGCTGTGGGCCAGGGACCGGGCCCTGGGCGGGGGTCCGGGCTCAGGGCACCTGCCGTTCTCGCTGAGACGTGGGCGGGACCCACAGCTGCTGGGGAGGGGAGTGGAGCACGGCTCTTAGTAAACAGCAGAGTGCTTGGCACACGTGGTTATTTTTAGCAGGATCCAAAAGACACACTTTCCCGGCGCACACGGCTGCCACACAGCCTCTTCCCGCCCCACGCCATGGAAGCAGTGAGCCCAGCAGCTCTACGCTCACTCCTTGGGGCTGCCAGCCGCCCTCAGCAGGGACACCTGCTGTCCCAGGGGGCCCGGGGTGGGCAGCCCCCTCCGTGCTCCACCTGCTGAGCGTCCCCACCCAGAGGTGGGAGCTGGGGAGGCTGCTGCCCCAGGGGGCGTCCTCACTGGCCTCATTCAGAACCAATTCAGCGTTAATGAGCCGCTTGCCTCCCTGGCTGTGATCCCCCAGCGGCTGGGCCACGTGAGGTGGCTCTGCTGCCTCCCCAGCTGACACCGGGGGCGGGGGAGGCTGAAGCTGGAGCCAGACAGGCCGGGCTGCTCCCGGGGAACTGCAGTCCTGCCTTGAAGGTGAGGTTGGATCAGCAGCCTACACCTGGTCATGGACGGAGGACAGGGTCGCCCAGATGCGAGCTCTCCAGGACGGGGGCACCAGCAGGGCCCAGGAGCTCTGTGCTAAGATCCAGGGAGCAGGCGTTACAGGCCTGGGTGTGGCACGTGCATCCAGCCAGCTCCAGGGCCAGGGCTGCCAGACCATATCAGTCTGGCTTGGGTTGACAGGTGGCATGGCAGGGGACAGCCTGTCCAGAGGACGCCACAGGGGGACAGTGGAACAGGCCAGCCCTAAACCCACACAGCTACCCTCCCCAGCCACAAGCTCACACGGACGTATGCACACGTGTACAAACCCATACAGTCCCCCTGCTCATGTGAACAAGCTCACACACACACACACACAGGTTTACGTGCTCATGGTGCCTGTGCCGGGCTTCCTCGCGTGTTAGGGGCACCAACAGCCAGCACACACAAGGGCACTAGGCCAGGTTGAGGCTGTGTGGACCTAGGGGAGCCACTGAGCCAGCCATGGAGCCAGCAGCCGGGGAGGGCACACGTTCTGGCATTGCCACAAGGAGGGGCAGGCGCTACCCAACCTTGTCGTCGCTGGAGGGCTGGGGAGTGGCCGGCCCAGCCCCAACCTTCGCTCCAAGCTCCTGGGGCATCGCAGCCCAAGTCCTGGGCATCAAGGCCCCAAGCGCCTGACTCTCACCACCCCACCCCACCCCCACGGCCGCTCAGAGGCCTGGCGGATGTGGAAAGCTGATCCCAGCCCAGGGGCGGGTGGCGAGGGGACTACGAAGGGCAACATCTCGCAGCCTCAGCACCCAGCGGGCAGCCGTGGCCACTCCGCACTCCCCAGGGACCTGACCGAGGCTGAGCAAGAGGTGGGGGGCTGTGGGCTGCCATGCATGGAGACCCCCAGCCCCTGTCCCAGTCCAAGCTTACTCTCCTCTGAGGTTTATGCCCAAAGTGGAAATGCTGGGCCTGACTGCTAATTCTGGATTTTAAAAAATAATAATAAAATAAATGTCTTTATTTATCTGAGAGGCAGACGGAGCTCCCCACCACTGCTTCACCACACATACACCCTGGAAATACCGGAAATGACCTGAACGGGCCCACGGCCAAAGCTGGGAGCTGGGAACTCCGTGCAGGCCTCCCCCGTGGGCGGCAGCTTTGAGCCGTGGCAGCTGCGTGCCAGGCGCTTGTGGCCGGGGAGCTGAATTGGGAGCGGCGCTGGGACTGGGTCCCAGGACTCAGCCTGGGGCTGCGGGGACCCCAAGGGCCGCTCCAATGCTGAGGTCGTCCTCCCTGGCGACCCCACTCCTGGGCCTGAGGGCAGCGGCACTGGTGTCCACGGGCACCCACGAGCGTGAGCACGGAGGCTTGGCCTTCTGCCTGCTCCAGGTCCCCCGTGCCTGTCATGTGTGAGTCATTTGGCAGCTCCTTGGTGATAAACACGGGGGCGCCTTTGCTTTTAAACAGGTTTATTTATTTTATTTGAAAGGCAGAGTTACAGAGAAAAGAGGGAAGGCAGAGAGAAACAGAGAGCAGAGAGCTCTTCCACCCGTGGCCTTACTCCCCAGACGGCTGCAGGATTCCGGGCTGTCAGGCTGAGCCGGAAGCCTTGTCCCACGTGCTTTCCCAGGCACAGCAGCAGGGAGCTGGATGGGAAGTAGAGCAGCCAGGACTCACAGGGGATGCCAGCGTCTCAGGCGGTGGCTTCACACGCACACCCACAACACGGGCCCTTTGCTGGCACTCTCAGCTCCTGTGACTTTGTGAGTTTTCAGAAACAGGCAGAGCTGTGGCGGAGGGTGTCGGGGCCGCATCCTGCCAGCAACCCAAGCCGTGAGCCAAGCCGTGTCTCATGAGATAAGCCACGTCCTGGCCCAGGCAGTGGCCCTGCAGCCATGGCCCTGCACACGCATACGCACATACGTACAAATCCAACCAGGGCGTCACAGCGAGCCAGCTGCTTGTCCCCATCGGACGCTGAGACGAGCGGGTCTCAGTGCCCGGGGGCCCGTGACATTCACGCAGTCAGCAGCAGCCTGGATCTGCCAGCCCTGATCCAATTTCCCCACCGCTGATCAAGTTATGGGAGATGTGGCCAGGGCACATTACAATGACCAGGACACCAAGACAGCCCAAGCAGGGAGAGGAGGGGTAGGAGCCGCAAGCGGATGGGCCGCCTTCCTGGCCGCCGGGGACAGGTGCACCGTGAGAGTGGCCAGCCCCCAGGGGTCTGTGGAGACATACAGCGCCTGGCCTGGTGGCTAGACTCCTCAACTGCCGTGCCGGCCACTCGGCATGGAACGGACGGAAATCATTCTAAGTTGTCTTCAGCCCAGACATCCCCACACCGGAGCAGGTGGGAGACATGAAATCAGTGCCTTGGGGAGCAGAGGGGTTCAGGAAGAGGCCGGTGGCGTGAGCTGGAAGCAGCGGAGCACCCCACCCCACAGTCATCATGCTCAGGTAGGGGGCACCCAGAGACACCACCAAGAGCGAGGGTGCCAGCCTAGGAGTAGGTGCTGGACCCCAAGGGCACGCCTGTGCCGGACACATCTCCTGCCCACACAGCCCTGTAGACACACGTTTGTTCTGGGCGTCAGACTCCCACACTGACAGTGGGGAGACAGAGAGAGGCAGCACAGCAGGGGCCCTGGGGAGGCAGCTGGTAGGAGGGATGCGGGCAGGGGGTGCTCGACAGTTAGGGGCGGGACTTGAACTGCCTGCATCTGAACCTCAGCTCCTCCTCCAGCCAAGGCTGGGCAGAGACCCCAGGCTGGAGTAGAGTGGGCACCCAGCAGGGCAGCAGCCAGCAAGGACACGGGCTGCCCTGCCGCTCCATGACGCTGGCACAGTCACCACCGCTGGGTTCGGGGGTGCATCCCAGGAGCTGCCTGAGAGCCCAGGAGGAGCTGGACCCAAGGACACACCGGACAGCTCCTCCGACATACTCAGCCCCTCCGTGTTGCCTCAGCACAGACACACCTGGGACATTAGGCCCAGTAATTACAGCACTGCAGTCCTAAAGATTACTGAGCACGTGTGAATTGTCCACTCAGAACTTTCCTGTGGACCACAACCCCACGGCTTTGGGCATCGGGGTATAACTGAGTCTCCCCGGGGCCTGGCAGCAAGCAGCCTGGGAGCCCTCCCCCTGCCGGCCCCGAAAGGCAAGCCCATGTGACGGCACGCGGAGGACCAGACGCCAACGCCGAGCAAGCGTGGAGGGAGGCTTTAATGACCACCCTGGGGGACAGAAGAGGCTCTCTTAT